AGAAAGAAAGAGAAGGAAAAAAAGGGAGGAGAGGAAAGAAATGAAAAGAAAGAAAAGAAAGAAAAGGGAAAAAAGGAAAAAAGAGAAAAGGGAAACAAAAGAAACGGGGGGGTGTGAAAGAGAGGAGGGGGAAGGTAAGAGCCTGAGAAAGCAGGAGTGGGGGTAACAGAAAGGGGGTCGTTGGGTGGAGTCGTCTCGTCAAGGAAGCAAAAAAGACACGGGTAAATATATTGCTGTGTCGGGTCAGCTGTATTTTTGCTCGATCCTCGTGTACTATATCAATGCAGAAGTTTGAAGTCGGTGAGATGTATATTGTCGGTCGGCCGACAATTTTTTTTCCCCTACGAACTGTGACTTTGTATCCGCTGTGACGACTTCGAGAGTGACTACAACTACAATACTTGTATTTTCTCGAAGTATTCACTTTCCTATAATTCCAGCTAAAGAAATCAGAGATTTAACATTTTCAGGGAAACTAAATTCAAACAAGGATTAAGAGTCAACAACGATACGACGAATTGTCTTCCTTTCTTTATATTTTGATGAAACGCCAAAATTTCCGCGCTTCGCGCGGGAGGGGAAGACTTCATTTAGACGGGTCGAGAACGGTACAATAAATCGTCTTCTTTTCCTAATAATTTAGGGAAACGTCTAAGCTTCCGCGCTTCGCGCGGGAGGCCTAACACCGACACCCCCTAACGAGCGCGCTTCGCTTGCTCACTACCGCCCCTCCCTAAAATAAGATCCTAGCTCCGCGCCTGCATTAAAATATATAGCTATGATGTTGACTAAGTTGACAAAATAATTGGTATATTTATGTCGTCGAGGAAATTGATCATTTGCACATACGCAAGTACTATAGATAGTCAATAGGAAAAACAATTTAGCCTTCGGCCCCGGGTTTATAGGGTTATTTGTAGATATAGAGACACTTAATTTTGTCGGTAATCGTTGGCCTCTACACCACCCCCCCCCCCCACCACTGAAAAAGGTCTAGCGACGCCCCTGATACAATGTATTAGGTCATCGTGGAAGTTCTAGAATGCAACAGGGGAGGGATCAAAATAAGCTTTGAAGGGCACTTATACGTAAAGAAGAGAACCCTTTCAGACGGGAAAATTAGATAGCAGCCTTTCTGCTTATTCCCATTTATACAAATCATTTTGTTGCAGTTTGATGTCAGTTCTTCACGATAAGCCAATTGTTCTTCTTCCGGTGGTTCCGTGAGTCCCTTAAAGTCAGTGAAAACAAAGTACTCGAATGAGACGGGGTGTTTTACACACTAATATATATATATATATATATATATATATATATATATATATATATATATATATATATATATATAATGTAAAGCTACATACACTTAACTGAAGGAAAGAAACCTATAGAAAACGGACTGGATATTATTGAAAATACTATTCTAAACAAGAATGTACTACATGTACTACATTACGTTACAATTTCACGAGAGAAATAGAACTCGAGAGGGGAAGAAAAGAAGAAGTGATGAAAATGAAAGAAGACTAAAAGCACGAGAGGAAAGAAAAGAGCTAAGAAGACAAGAAAAGGGTATAAAAAGGAAAAGGAAGAGCAAGAGAGAGAGAGAGAGAGAGAGATAGCCTTGAGCTTTGGATCGGCTAATGAGTAATAAATGAAACAGATTGTGAGCGGAGTAATTATCTTTCGCCGGAGAACTTGCATAAGGAGCTAAAACTTATGGTTTTTTTAAATCAAACATTATGGGGAATAGCAAAAAACGGTTGAGCATTTATTACACTAATTGCCAGAGGAGCATTCATGTCTTCCACGAGGCCGCACTTTTGGATCAGAGAGCAATTTAATTGTCGGCGGAGCATTGTCTTTTGCGGGGTACTTTTGGGGAGGAGCAACAATTATTGTCGTAGTAGCCTTTGTATTTTACGGGGCACTTTTTTAGCGGAGCAAATGTCGGCGGAGCAATTGTCGCGTGTTGCGGAGCAATTGTCGGCGGAGCAATTGTCGGCGGAGCAACTGTCGTTCGAGGAGCATTTGTCACCGGAGCAATTGTCGGCGGAGCAATTGTCGGCGGAGCAAAATGTCGGCGGAGCAATTGTCGGCGGAGCAAATGTCGGCGGAGCAAATGTCGGCGGAGCAACTGTCGGCAGAGCAACTGTCGCGGAGCAAATGTCGCGGAGCAATTGTCGCGTTTTGCGGAGTAAATGTCGGCGGAGCATGTGTCATGGAACAGTTTATAAGACAGGGTTGGCATATTTCCCGCTTCGGAGGCTTATTTCCCGGACGCGAACTCTTTATTTTGAGTCCCATCACTTAGAATATGATGTATAATGGTACTACCAGAGGAACATCAACACAAATGTGTCATTGGGGGAGGAAGCGCATTGTAAGTCATATTCCTTAGTTTCTCTTAATGGAGAATTAACTTTAAAAAAAACATTTATCTATGACCAAATAGACAATCCTTTCTGGAAAGCCTAGGACAGGCGCAGATCCAGGATTTCTTAGGGGGGGGGACCCAAATTTGAAATTATGCGAGCCAAATATTGGTACTTAATGGTGATCAGCATTGGCGTAATGGGGGGGGGGAGGGGGCAGGGAGGGGCGATTTCCCCCTCCCTCCTCCGCAAATCGCCGAAGCTTTGAAGTTTCATTAAATTATTAGAGAAAGAAGACGATTCGTTGTACTGTTCTCGAAAATAATCCTGGTCTGAATTCAGTCCCCCCCCCCCCCCCTCCCGCGCAAAGCGCGGAAGCTTTTACATTTCATTAAATCATTAGAGAAAGGAGACGATTCGTTGTACCGTTCTCGACTCTTAATCCTCGTTTGAATTCACTCCCCCCCCCCTCCCGCGCGAAGCGCGGAAGCTTTTACATTTCATTAAATCATTAGAGAAAGAAGACGATTCGTTGAACCGTTCTCGACTCTTAATCCTCGTCTGATTTCAGTCCCCCCCCCCCCCCCCCTCCCGCGCGAAGCGCGGAAGCTTTTACGTTTCATTAAATCATTAGAGAAAGAAGACGATTCGTTGTACCGTTCTCGACTTTTAATTCTCATCTGAATTCAGTTTTTCCCTCCCCCCTCCCGCGCGAAGCGCGGAAGCTTTTACGTTTCATTAAATCATTAGAGAAAGAAGACGATTCGTTGTACCGTTCTCGACTTTTAATCCTCATCTGAATTCAGTTTTTCCCTTCCCCCGCCCGCGCGAAGCGCGGAAGCTTTTACGTTTTATTAAATCATTAGAGAAAGAAGACGATTCGTTGAACCGTTCTCGACTCTTAATTTCTTTAAAAAAGGGGTGGGTTTTTTTCTCTTTCTCTTTGGACTCCTGAGAAATGTAAAAAGGAGGTTATAAAATGTCTTGAATATCATAGAAAAATTGATCAAATCCCGGGATCAAAGTCCTGAAATTCCTTCTAGCTTTGAAAGCTCATTCAGAATTATTTCATTTTGAAAAGTAAAAACATTGGCCCCCAGTCCCCCTCAATCGACTAGAGCTCACCTTAAATTGGGGGGGGGGGGGAGTGGTACATTTAGCAGTGTTCCGGATTTGGGGGGGGGGGTCTCCAAGGCAGGAAAAGCCAGTGAAAAGCCGGCGAAAGGGGGATTCAGAAATGTTGGCAGTCCTGAGATAGGGTGGGGGGGGGGGTGCTTTCAAAGGGAGGGAACGAGCATACGCGTACCCTAAATAACACTGAATAGGGGTTGGGGGGGTGCCGGGCATGATTGCACTGTTTAAGCGCTCGCGCGCTGGCGCACTTTACGTCTGGGCTATAATAATACCTTGCAAAATAACGAAAAATATGAAGTGCTTGTTCGCGCACGTCGCGCAACTATTCTTAATGATAGTGTCATACTATATACGTGTAGGCTATACAGTTATACATACATAAAAAAATAACTCATTTCTCATGCATTATGCTGAAATTGAAACAATCACATTTTTTTCTTCTTCTTCTTCTTCCTTTTTTTTCTCTCTTTTTTTGTAATATCAGGGGAGGGGGGATGTTTGTACAGGCCACCCCCCCCCCCTCCTACTTCAAGCCAGGGGGGATGCAGCCCCCCATCCCCCCCCCGGGATTTACGCCCCTGATGATAAGTCATGTGTTTCATATAATCCAATATTCTGTGTACATATTTACACAACTTTATACAATGGACATTAACTGAAGACAACTCCACCGCATCCATTCCCAGTGGTATCACTACATATTCAAAGGTGTAGCGCATGGTTGTAAGCGGAGTCGAAAATGATCCCTACCTTTGTATACTTTCAAGAATATTTTCACAAAATGTGATCTCATCTTTGCATGAAACAGGTCAAACATGGGCTCGAAATGTAACCCTATTTGAAATTGATTGTGGCAATATTCTTTAAACGAAAACAATCTCATTTGGGACATCCACCCCGCCCCGCCCCACCGCCCTCTCTTTTGGTGGGTGTGTGTTCTGTCTCTCTTTTGTATTTATCAATTTATCAAATTAATAAATTAATTTCTTTTTCTATTTTTTAAACTATTTATTTATTCATTCGTTTATTTAATTTTCTAATTTCTTGTATCAATTCCATTTATTGGTCGGGGGGGGGGGGGATTCGGATATGTCAGATTTTGAACTTTGGTACAACACTTTTTCCCACTTATCCCCCCTTCTGTTTTATTCATTCACAGACGTCACGTTTCTCATTCCTGCTCTTTGCATCAATTCAAATGTGTTGAATAATCTCTCACTCTCCCCCTCTCTCTTCCATTACATTCTATCGGTCTTTTCCTACATTCATCACTATCAAATTCCTCATTCCTGTTCCGTTTATCCATATGAATCGGTTACATAGTCTCTCTTACTCCCCTCCCCTCCCCCCTCTCTCTCTCTCTCTCTCTCTCTCTTGTGTCTTATGTCTATCTCTCTTCCCCCTCTCTCTCTCTCTTCTTTTTCTTTGCATACTTATACAATAAATTCACAACTTTTTAAAATACCACCACAAAAATATATACCGGAAGCATTTAACATTTCATGAATAAATTTACTCTTCAATAATTCATTTATCTTTCATTGACAGCGCATGTATACATCAATTCATACAATGATAAGTTATGTGTTTCATATAATTCAATATTTTGTGTACATATACTCACACAGCGTAAGTCTCTACAACGGACATCAATCGAAGACAACTCCACCACAATCCTTCCCAGTGGTATCTCTACATATTCACAGGTGTAGCGTAGGACTGTTTGGAGTCGAAAATGATCCCCTAATTTGCATAATTTCAAGAATATTTTACACAAAGTATGACCCTTTTCTGCTTGAAACGGGTAAAACATTGGCTCAAAACGTAACCCTATTTTTGCTTATGAAGACATGCATTCACAAAATGTACCATATTTTCACAAAAACAGGTACATACGCAAACATCAGGAAAATATGACTTATGCTTCGTTGAATTTCGAGTTATTTCAAAGAAAAACATCTTTTTCCCCCTAAAATCTGTGAACTTACAAAAATTACAAAATTTCTGCAAAATTTCTGACTATCATGCACACACTCAGTCAATATGAAGTGATGCCACCAGAATACAAATGCAAACTTGGAAGGCAGCATGTTAAATAGTTTGAACCAGAGGCTTGCATCGATGCCCAGTATTCCCAGTGCAATTCCAAATCCATGGTTAAATTTGGAAATCTGATGCTATTGTTAGCAAAGCACAACCAATAACATGGATTGAGATCTAGAAACAAGCTCTATAATGTTACCCGATAATAACTACTTTTATAAATCATAAACATGGGTATATCTAGAAGTAAATCAACTGTATGCAATGATTGTTAGGTTGGGTAATACACCTTGATTTATAATACATACCGTAAGTGCATGAAGAAATAATAATAATGATAATGATAATGACCCTTGGAAATTTCCTTTCAATATAACCTCTTTGTAACAATGTGAATTTGTAATAACTAACCATCAGATAGAAATAGGATATTTGGTCCTAGAAAGAACCAGGGATTCATGGATTTGGACTACACATACACATCAGGGTCCCATTTGACAAAACATGTCATCAGTGACAAATGACAATTTTTATTATAAGATAGTGAAATCCTTGCTTCTGATTGGTTATCAGCAGATTTGTCATTGAAAAAAGGCTTTGTGAAACGGGTCCCAGCTATGGGGGTTCATTTGCTCTCTTCACATGGCAGCGAATGTGGTTACATTGTATGACATCATAGCATAAATACCACATGTACATTAAACAAAATGTATATTCAAGTAGACTATTGTTATGTGAAATTTTTAGTATAATTTTTTGGGTAAAATTAAGTGTTGACATTAAATATGAGCCATAGAGCTTCCAACAAAATCATTAATAAATACCAAGTAGTAATTAGACAAAAGCTGTTTAAACAAAACCACACGACCTATCCCATTAGCTTACAGTTTCTTTAACAATGTCATCACTCGACCAGAACTCAACTTAATCATAAGATATATATGACCAATCAATTTGATAACATATAATCAGCACAGATCTCCCGGCAATGATTAACAAGCCACCTTGTGACTGGGATGTTCATCTTTATCAATCTCCAAAGGTTTTCAAGGTTTGCTGGATCTCTTTGTATCATCTTCTTTCTCATCGATGTCATCCGCTACCTTTGTGGCAAAATCTTGAGAATTGGGTGTGTTTAGACTGAGACGGATCCTTCCTACCATGCCTTGGGGGTCATCTGTCACGATGTTGGCTCCTAAGCATGGTAAATAAATGAAACAAAGATGAACAAATGATCACTCGGCCAGTTACAGAACACTTGATGAGAGCCGAGTCAAGATATATGTTATAGATATGTAGATTTTGTACAACTACAGAAAATGTGTTTATAAGATGGATCATTAATTAGAATTCTGAGGAAAAATGGGAGAAGACTGATTACAAGCAAATCTTTCTGGATAGGATAATAACAAGTTATGTATGTTTGGTCACTTGTCATGATCTTTCTAATCCAGGCCGTACAAGTTTTACAGCGCGATATAAACCTCTTCCAAAAAGTGTTGTATTCTTATTCATGCTTTCATATAATTTTTGTGTTACTTTTGTGCAGTATTATGAAGCAAATGTGAACAGCTGCCTCATCAAATATCCACAGATTTGTATCACATCCAATCAACTGTTCATGCAAACATATCGGGGGGTTTGAAGGTGTAACTTCTCCAAATTTCAAAAAAAAAGCTATACATATTCATGCAACATTTTCAAAAAGCCATGGCAAACAAATTAGTTTTCATCTTTACAAATCAATGACAATTTGACCCCCCCCCCCCCAATGTTGTTAAAGAATTGATTTGCCCACCCACCTAGAAAGCTCTGTCATGATGGCAAGATTAATTCCCTCTGATTCTGTCTAGCAAGCGCCCAAAGAATCCCGGCTCTTTCTCCTCCTCCTCACTCTCATCTAAAGGCTCATCATCTTTAGCTTTTTTAGCTGGTGGTGGGAGAGAGCCACAATAAACATTGGTATAGATAGGGCAAAATAACACAACTTCTTCCTACTTTTGTAAGGAGAAAGCCAATTTATTAAAAATATGGTTACAAGCAGCACAACTTCTCTCTACTCATTGCGATCTTTCATATAATACCAAATTTAAGGCAAACAGGGGTGGTGGTGAGAGCGCCAAATAACCCCTCTATTACCCTCTTGAATCCTAACTTCACTCCTGATTCTTCCTCTATTACCCCCCTGAATCCTAACTTCACCCCTGATTCTTTCTCTATTACCCCCTTGAATCCTAACTTCACTCCTGATTCTTCCTCTATTACCCCCTTGAATCCTTACATCACCCCTGATTCTTTCTCTATTTCCCCCTTGAATCCTCACTTCACCCCCGGTTCTTTCTCTATTACCTCCGTGAGTCTTAACTTCACCCCTTGAATCCTAACTTCACCCCTGATTCTTTCTCTATTACCTCCGTGAGTCTTAACTTCACCCCTGATTCTTTCTCTATTACCTCCGTGAGTCTTAACTTCACCCCTGATTATTTCTCTATTACCCCCTTGAATCCTAACTTCACCCCTGGCCCTTTCTCTATTACCCCCTTGAATCCTAACTTCACCCGTGATTCTTTCTCTATTACCTCCGTGAGTCTTAACTTCACCCCTGATTCTTTCTCTATTACCTCCGTGAGTCTTAACTTCACCCCTGATTCTTTCTCTATTACCCCCTTGAATCCTCACTTCACCCCTGATTTTTTCTATTACCCCCTTGAATCCTAACTTCACCCCTGATTCTTTCTCTATTACCCCCTTGAATCTTAACTTCACCCCTGATTCTTTCTCTATTACCCCCTTGAATCCTAACTTCACCCCTGATTCTTTCTCTATTACCTCCGTGAGTCTTAACTTCACCCCTGATTCTTTCTCTATTATCCCCTTGAATCCTCACTTCACCCCTGATTCTTTCTCTATTACCCCCTTGAATCCTCACTTCACCCCTGATTCTTTCTCTATTACCTCCGTGAGTCTTAACTTCACCCCTGATTCTTTCTCCATTACCCCCTTGAATCCTTCCTTACCATCCTGTGTTTTACTGAGCCCATTGACAGTTCCTGTCACTCCTGCTTCTTCCTCAGCAAATGCCATCAGAAGAGCCTTCTGTTTTTCTCCCAAAGATCTATAAAGTGATAGCACACAGGACAGATGAAAACATTTATGGGGATATTCCATGATCCAAGCAACAAATAAGTATTAGAGAGTTAAAATAACTTTCTAGAATTAGAAATCAACTCAAGGGCAGGGTCAATACCCTACAATTCATGCCTGGATTATATAGCAAAGGTGACACACAAGGCTACTGAGACTGCATTATGTTAATCTTTTGAAGTCCTTTTTATCATGTTAAAGAAACCATGGTTTAATCATAACACCTTCATCTTAACCCATATAGTGTTACAAATATAATGAACATGGACCATAAATGAGATTTAAAGCCATAAATTTTCATTCATGGTATCAAACAATTTACGAGCTTGTTTTAAATTTCAAGAAGGAATCTCTTTTCTTAGACCAAAATGTACACAGTATAAGAATCAGTGCAGTTAACACTGGTTTACAGCACTGACAGGGTTAAACAAAACTTTGTTTAGACATCACTCTAGAAGCAACAGAGCCTGATACCTGAAGGCTTTTAGAATGGATAAATCACACCGTAGGGAGACTGAGTCTGGTACATGAAACTATTGGGTCCTAACTCACAACAAATAAATATTATAATGAAAACTCACCTTCACATTGGGAAACCATATAATACCAACTTTGGAAGAAGTAAGAATGACAATTCTACAAGAATTATCAATATTATGTGTTTGTTCATAGCCTTGTGTTTAAAGAGTACTACTTACGTAGGGACTTTGATCTTGATGTGGATATGATGGTCTCCAAACCCGTATCCGTTGACGCGACTAATGCCTTTCCCTGGTAGACGTATCCTTGCATGGGACTGGGTACCTGCTGGAATCTGGGATAATGCAACAAAACAATCCTTGATAGCTCCATCTTAGAAATTACACCAAAATGCTCTCATAGCTAGCTATCTCCTTGAGGGATCAGGTAACTTTGTCTTAGATCCTTTAAAAAAATCCTTGATTTAGTTCATGCTGCAATGATAATTATAAACCTTTAGGTCAGTCAGAAACCTCATGACTTTAACAAGCCAATCGCCTGTCTGATTATCAAGATATTTATGATTGGAAATTGTAAACCAAATTTTGCATTTTCCTAACAGTTTTCATAACACTACAGTCTATTGGGGAAAACGAGTATGGAAAAACTAGTCACTGAAAGATTTTTACTTTTTTGAGGCACTTTTTGATCATTTTGAAGCACAATTTTTTTAGGGCTTCAATATTTCACCATATCACAGACACTGATAACACGTAGGGCCGTGCATCTCAGATTTAACATTGTTAAACATTGCCTTTAAGGTTTGCTGCATCTATCCGTATCCTCTTTTTTCTTGTTGATGTCTTCTCTGGAGTGCTCAACTAAAATTGAGCCATACAAGCTCAAAGAAAAATATCAACAAAACCTGATACATCAAGGACATGACAACAGATGTTAAAGACTTACATTGAGTGTAATAGTATCATAGATTCCTTTGATCTTGCATGTACCACCGAGAGTAGCCTGAGTAAAACTGATGGTAGCATCTGAATGAATGTCTGCTTTATCTCGTCTAAACTGGTTACTCCGAGCAACACGGAACGTGATGAACAACTCCTGGCTACCCACAGGCATCCGGACTGTTTGGCCATCTTCAACACCTACAACAAAACAGACAGCATAAATAATAAGATGGGATTATATAGCACATAATACAAAGACGATGTCTCTAAGTTCTTACAATTTGAAGTCTGTTTCATAGAAATTTGACAGTTATCAATCATTCACATTGAAAAAACAAAAACAGACATTTATTTGCAGTTACAGCGGTTCCATGACACATGCTCCGCCGACGATTGCTCCGCCGACATTTACTCCGCAAAATGCGACAATTGCTCCGCGACATGACGGGAACGTTTGTTCGAAATATACGAACTCTCTTATTAAGTTACTTAAGTTACTCAATCACATCAACAGTCATATTCAGTTCATTCAGGCATCTGTGCAACTAAACCAGGCCTAAGTAATTTCTCGTTTTAGAAACCATAAATTCGGGTTGTACCCAATTCAAAACATTTATTAATGTAAACAATCTTTAACAATGTAAAACTCAGCGATTCAAAACGCGTGAAGAGTAAAAGTGACATGTTCGATCATAACTATTTATAACTTAGTATTGACATGTACATGTTTAAACTACGATCCTAGGTTACATGGATGTCCTTTAGAAATAAGTACAGTGTATAGCAACAATTTAATCGTCACTAAACCTACTATGCGTACAGTGTACACTTATTAGTTTTACATTAACTAACTTTACGGTTTACCACTACTTGTCTAGAAATGACTGGGATAAGAGCAAGTGTCTCAAATGTATGAATATTGATCTTCCAATACCAGTATCACTAACAGATCCAAGCAATATATAAGTATAGACCTTTGTTCTATTCTATTCTTCTCACCCTAATATCCTATGCCAGCATAGCGGTACATTCCATTCCTTATAAATCTTCTCAATCCGGCTAAGCATCCCGCCAACTCCGCCATTACTATGTTCCTGGCTCTCTACCACCCCGGCCTCTTTCTTGCCCCGAACTACATTGTAATGAAATAGCCTCGAGATTTTATCTCCTATAACATTAGACTAAACAAAGTCTTAATATAAGCTTGTTCAACTGTTAACAACATTTTACGGTAGAAGTAATAAATACAATAGGATACATGTATGTGGTCAATAAATGAGTTACAGAAATAGGAAATCTAAAGGGTCATTAAAAGGTAGGCTGGTCACTTGTTGTCGTAACTCGTAAGGTACATGTAGGCTCACGGTCTCGATCATAACATTCGTTCCTTATTCAGGATTGAACTGTTACAGGTTGGATAAACATCTCAAGCAAGCAAGCTTCCATATCCACCGTAACGTTCTCTATTCGAGATTGTTACTTGGAGAGTCTCCAACCACAGCCAAGCAGAAATGGAAAAGGGGGGGGGGGGGGTAACATTCATGCACAATACAACTCCTCAAAATTTGTCACCAGAGCAATTGTCGCGTTTTGCGGAGCAATTGTCAGCGGAGCAATTGTCGGCGGAGCAAATGTCGGCGGAGCAATTGTCGGCGGGGCAATTGTCGGCGGAGCAAATGTCGGCGGAGCAATTGTCGGCGGAGCAAATGTCCCGGAGCAAATGTCGCAATTGTTGCGTTTTGCGGAGTAAATGTCGGCGGAGCAATCGTCGGCTGAGCATGTGTCGGGTTACCGTTACAGCTGTCTTGAAGAAAGGTTTCTACAGAAATGAGCCCAAAAACAAAAAAAATCATCTCGTAAGACGTTATGCTTTTCCATTAATGTTAGCATTATAATCGGATTATGTTGTGTTTGAACAAAAGTGCCTACCCGAAAACAAACATTTAGACACAGAAAGTAATGGTACTTTGAAATCCTGTAAAAACGGCAAATGGTGTAAGAATTTAGGACATACCTGCTGGAACTGGTACAACAACTTTTTTTCTTTGCATCGTCTGCCCCGCCCCTCTACACACTATACATGGAACACTGATGATGACTCGGGTACCACGGCAACGACGACATGTTGTTCTCATCACAAATGGTCCTGTGTTCACAGTTTCCTAGGAAATTCGAAATGGAATGAAAAAAAATATATATTAGTGCTAGAAAAGTTTATTAAACGGTTTGAAAAATTACTTTTTTTCCTGAGATAGAATCATTGATGCCTATGATATTAAATTCTGCAATGTGACAATACAACTGTGTAAGATCGAAGATTGTATATATCAAAGTTTCTCATTTTGCCTGTCTCATTTCATTCAAGGAATATCTGTCTTCCCATCTGTCTTTTCTATGTATATGTGTAAGTGCACATGTATTAGGGAGAGGGGGGGGGGGACTTTCTGTGACTCTAATTCTATACTCTGATAGAATCTGTCTATGTTAACATTTTAGTTGCTTTCTTTGACTCTCTGCACAGTTGCTCTTTTGCCACAAATCCAAATATACACAAAAACAGGCACCACTTGACGGAAGGATCGCTTTATGCAACACAATGCCTCCGTGAAAAAATAACCCATTTCTATTCTTGATTAGCTCCATGACAACCACGGTATAGATTAATCTGGTGCTGGAAATGGTCTCAAAGCCTTTGGTATACCTACCCCATGAAGAAAAAAATGGGGCCTAGGGAGATAAGTTGTGTGGATATAAAGAGTTAATTTATCATTCCATGCATCATGATTAATATCTTGCCTTGATATTAATGCAATGGCAGTATTTGAACCGTGAGCCTACTAGGAGATGACAATGCTTTTACTAACCTGGCCTGTTCCATTGCACTGATGACACTTTGACGTCTTGGTTCCAGGTTCAGATCGGGATCCCTTGCACCGTTCACACGTGTCCTCCATCTTCACGTTTATCTCCTTGTTCACACCCCTGGCGGCTTCACTGAATGTTAAATCCATGGCCACCTAAGCAATCAGGGTAGAAAATAAATACATTCAAACTCTGATATCAAGCCATCTCCACTTGTATCATATGGAGAGATACATTTATAACTGACATCTCATAGATACAACAGGTTTCAAGGGAGCCCTTGTTTTAAGTTTTAAAGGTGCACTACCCTTAGACACATTTTTTTCTACAGGGATATTTCATCACTTACTTACAACTTTAATTTCATTCATGAGACAATAAACTGTGTAACACTGAGAGTGAGTAAATTTTTTCTTGATTAAAAATATATTTTGTAATTGATATAGAAAATTGCCTTAACTGTTCAAGACTTGTATTCCTAAAAGAAAAAAATACTAAGCTGTATGCCTTCAATACCACTACAGTATCAAGGTCTTTCATTTTAGGGGCAGGTCATTTTAGCCAGTCAAAGGGGCACAGTGGCTTCATAGTAATTCAAGGAATAACATTACTTTAGTTAGTATGAAACATATATATTTTATGTGACAGTGTAATCCACTTTGCATTATGATTACCCTGTAATTACCCAATTTCTCCTTCACATATTAAGTCATATACATCCTATAGTAACTAATTTACTTACCTCATGAGCTGTGTTGAATCCTCCAAACATTGACTCATCAAACATGCCACCTCGGTCAAAGGCCTGATTACCAAAGATCTTGCGGAAGAGTTCCTCTGGGTCCATGGATGATTGCTGCCATTGGCCCTGGAATCCACCTGCCGCTCCGCCGCCCATTCCACCTGCTCCAAAGCCAGCTTGTCCTAATGTGTCATATTCTTTCCTTCGCCCTTCGTCTCCTAGTACCTGAAGCACAGAAATATCCATCAAATGCTCAACATCTAATTAGTTATTTTGCATTTCTTTATAAATCATTCTAATCCTCTATAATGACAAGGGAAGGTACAAACTTTCAAATTAACATTATACCACAAAACTTACTTTAAACTAGATGGAATTTTGACTGCGCGCAGTCGAAAATGATGCCTCCGCCATAGAGCAATTTAAACAAGTTTGGAGTTTAAATCTCCAGTGGTTCTTGAGATATCGCGATAACGATCTCAATGTATGGAATTTCATAAGTTGACCTCTGTGACCCTTGACCTTTGACCTACGTGCTCCAAAATCTAATCAGATTGTCTTCCTATGGTGATACACACTATCATTAAGTTTGAAGTTTAAATCTCCAGTGGTTCTTGAGATATTATGATAACAATCTCAATGTATGGAATTTCATAAGTTGACCTCTGTGACCCTTGACCTTTGACCTACGTGCTCCAAAATCTAATCAGATCGTCTTCCTATGGTGATACATACTATCCTTAAGTTTGAAGTTTTTACATCTCCAGTGGTTCTTGAGATATCATGATAACAATCTCAATGTATGGAATTTCATAAGTTGACCTCTATGACCCTTGACCTTTGACCTACGTGCTCCAAAATGTAATCAGATTGTTTTCCTATAGTGATACACACTATCACTAAGTTTGAAGTTTAAATCTCCAGTGGTTCTTGAGATATCATGATAACAATCTCAATGTATGGAATTTCATAAGTTGACCTCTGTGACCCTTGACCTTTGACATACGTGCTCCAAAATCTAATCAGATCGTCTTCCTATGGTGATACATACTATCATTAAGTTTGAAGTTTAAATCTCAAATGGTTCTTGAGATATCGCGCTAACAAACTCAATACAAGGAATTTCATAAGTTGACCTCTGTGACCTGTGACCTTTGACCTACGTACTCCAAAATCTAATCAGATCGTCTTGCTATGGTGATAAATACTATTCCAGAGTCTTAAGTTTAAATCTTAAATGGTTCTTGAGATATTGTGATAACGGTCAAACGGGACGGACGTACAGACGTACGGACGGACGTACGGACGTACGGACGGACGTACGGACGTACGGACGTACGGACGGACAACCCGAAAACATGATGCCTCCGGCACCACCTTCGGTGGCGGAGGCATAAAAACTCAATAATCGATTTCTATACAGCATCAAAGAAAGACACCATTTGGTTGGCTTAAATCAATGTGGCATTGAAAGTATTAACTAACCTCATATGCCTCTGCAACCTCAGCAAACTTCTTGGAAGCATCAGGACTCTCTTTGTTCCTATCAGGGTGGTATTTCTTTGCCATCTATTCAGTAAAAGAAAATACAATTACCAGTATGCAAAGTGTAAACAATAATTTCTGTTTTTAGTTAAATATCTTGTCGGTACAGTAACGTATAATTCTAACGATAGCTGAAGAAATATGAAGACAAAATCAAAGGTAATTTCTAACGAAGATAAAGATTTATCAGAAATAAAAGGCTATCTACATTTACAGCATATTTTAGGTGTTTACTATAGCCTCATAGATGTATCCAAAACTTGACAAATTAAGAACATCAATTGTTTCCTCTTTTTGTGGGTGTGTGCTTTTATCAACCCTAATCCATTATCTATCAAGGTATGCCTAAAGGCAGTTCATATGCAAATTTAATCTATTGAAAATTGTTTTGTTTTTTAAACCAGAAAAAAAAGCCCTTGAACAGCACTAATTTATCATTCCTCACATTTCATCTTGAAATATAAAGGTCTAGGTGGTTTAGGCGTACCATAACTGACAAAAACGAATTATTTGGTATACTAACCTCATAATATGCCTTCTTGATATCTTTCTGAGTTGCTGTTTTAGGAACCCCCAGCACTTGATAGAAATCTCTCTTTCCCGCTAATGCGCTTGTGCTTGTGTGTATATTCCTGCTGAAGCCATGGACAAACTGATGTTGATGTAAACCTGTAACAATAAAAAAAGAAAGTCTTTGTAATGTAAATTGCACCTGAAGTTAACTAATTATCATCAGGTTTCAGGAACACTTGGAAGGTAAGCAAATTGCTATTATCCTGGTATCAAAATCTGAAATTTTTGTTTAAATTCTTGCGCGATTTCAAAGTGCTTTACATGAGAAGAAAGAAGAGCCAGTGTGCAATGTTTGTTGGGAAGGGGTGATTACGAAAGCATTTTAGGTTGTGTCAACCTCCCTCTAGTCTTCACGCAGGGGTATGGTGCCAATTAAGGCTAGGTGATATTAATATCATATTTCACATTATCACCTAGCCCTTATGGCTAACCCCAGGATTTTCCTTTCCTCTTGGAGGAGCATCAAAGGACAAAATATGAATAAAATTGCCTCCAAGCAGACACATTTTTCCATTTCATTATCACCAAGCACTTACTTGCCTTACAACTAATACAATCTGGATTATGAGGAAATCTAGATCTAGTAAAAAGCTAGGATCGTAAATTGTTGATTTCTAGTCCTAAAGTCAGTAGAGGCGCTGGTCCGAGAATGAGGATCGTCTGCATAAACGAGGATATCCTCGTAAACTCGGACAAATCGCGTCCTAAGAAATAAAGATCGTCCAAATTTTTTTTCCTTGCCGCTCTGCAGGTTTCGGGCACCCGATCTGCACGCTGGCAACGTGAAAAACGGATTCCTCATAATAAAATACCTCCAGTTCACCGTCTACTTTTATGGGTTGTCAGTCTTCCTGAGGATTAATCGTTCATAACGAGTAAGTCTCTGTGCAAATTCAATGTGAAATGCAGCAAGAAATCTGTTTTTCACATCGCCAACGCGCGGATCAGAAATAAGAATATGCGGACGATCCTTATTTTTGCAGACATGTCTGTCCGCGTTTACGAAGATGATCCTTATTCTCGGACCAGCATAATAGTGTGCACTTTATTACAGGATCAGGAGAAATGAAACTGAAAGAGCCCGAGGTGAAGTGTTAAGCGCGAAGACTAAGAACTAAAATAAGAATCATAAGGGGCAATAATAAGTTTGCCTATAAGTAAAGAATAATCCACTACAGGCACTAGTCCACAAGGTATTCAAGATTCAATATTATTTTATTACATAGAAAAATGGCAATGCAATGACACAGACAATGCAATGCCAATGCCTTTTTTGACAGTAAACATACAAATGATAGGAAATACAATACAAAACGATTTACATAAATATGGATAGTTATTAACAATATATGAACGCATAGTGCATCACTTTTGATTCCTCTATCCTCAAATTTCAACATATTAGAACAGTTTGACACAATCACATCAAACCCCATGTTTTACAGACAAAAAAAAGATTACACTACATCGATTTCTACACGTGGGCCAATAGTTAAGCTACACTGACAGAGTTTACTTCATCTTACCTCCTCCAATTTTATCTTGAGAAGTACAGCTTTTTGGTTGTGAAAATACTGAAAAACTGGCAATATTGCTTGCTGGCACACTTCTGCATGTTTTACACCGGTAAGAACGAGTAATCTCTCCTTTCAAGAGATAATTAGAAGACGATTTGTGGCATGCTCTGATGCTTCGCAGAATGGTGGCGGTCGCCATTTTGAACAACATGTGCACACCATCGAAATCCAAGTTTGAGTTCGTTGGTGCACACACACATTACTAACATATAAAAACGAAAATAGCGACTAGTCTACATGAAAAATCGATCCCCCGATTTTTGTTCCCCCCCCCCCAAAAAAAAAAAAGAGAGAGAGAGAGAGAGAGAGAGAGAGAAAGAGAGAGAGAGAAAGATAAAGAGAGAAATCAAAGCAAATAATTAGTTCAGGCTACCATGCACACCCCCCCTACCTCCGTGATCACAGCGCCCCAACTCATAGTGGCCCCAACCACCCCTCCATCACGCAAGCTCGTCGGAATCGTTCTATAGACTCTATAAGGTAAATAGAGTGGAATTTTTTTTATTTAGTGCAAGATTTTACCAAGGGTGGGCTTTTAAAATCTTCCCCACCACGAGTTCTGATAAAATGAAAGCCAATAACCAGAGGCGGCCCTCCGGGGGGGGGGGCAGGGGGGCAGAGTGCCCCCTCCCACTTTTCAAGTACCCGAAAACTAAAGTGTCCCTTTTTACATAGGAATAGTGCCCCTTCTACTTTGGCAAGTGCCCCTATTAATTAGTAAAGGTGCCCCTTCCACTTTTCAACTTTGATAAGTGCCCCTTTTATTTGGACACGTGCCCCTTTTCCTTCGACAAGTTCCCATTTTCCTTTGCAATAAGTGTCCATTTTCCATTCTCATAAGTTCCCTTTTTAATCTCTAATAAGTGCCCCTTTTAATTTACGAAAAGTGCCTCTTTTCACTTTTGATAAGTGCCCCCTTCACCTATGATAATTGCCCTATTCAAATCTGAGAGGTGCTTCTTTTACTTTGACAAGTGTCCCTTTCCTTTGTAAGAAGTGCCCCTTTCCCTTTTTATAACTACCCCCATTTTAACTTGGATGAGCGCACCTTATATTTTCACATACGCCCCTTTCCCTTTCCAATAAGTGCCCTTTTTCCAAATGCTCTCATAGGTCCCCCTTCTCTGGTAAATTACCCTTTTCAGGTACGAGAAGTTGCTCCTTTTCATTTCAGATAAGTGCCCCCTTCACCTTTGATAAATGCCCCTTTAATATGTGTTCGGTGCCAGTTTTCTTTCAACTAATGCTCATTTTCCTTTAATATAAGTGCCCCTTTTTCATTCACATAAGTGCCCCTTTTCATATCTCGTCATTGCCCCTTTTCAAGTGCGATAAGTGCCTCTTTTCGTTTCTAATAACTAAGGGACCTATCCCCGTTTCATATATGCCCCTTTTCAACTCTTATACCTATCAAAATCTGATGGGTGCCCCTTTTCCGTCGACAAATGCCCATTTCCTATCCTAATGACTGACTTTTTTCATCCCTAGTGAGTGTTCCAAATCCTTTGAACTTTCTGCATTATAAAATATCCAATCACGTTTGTCAAGTTAATATACCGAGATACTGGCCAAAATTAGAGGGAAAAGATGTCTTTAAAAAAAATCATGTTCTTATATCCCTTATAAAAAAAGTACCATGGTAACCATAATTACCATGGTTACCATGTGGGTGGTAATTTGGACCAAAAAAAACATGGTTACCATAGTACTTTTTTGTAAATTTTCGACGTTAATTAATCCCGATTCCGTATATTGGTATCAAAATGTAGTTAAATTCAATTTTTTTTATATAAAACCAAATTCAATATGGTGGTTCAAGGTTTTAAAATATTGTTCACAAAACACTATTTTTTATCAAAGGGCCTCTTTTTTGGACGCCCGGCCCCTTCGATTTACAAATTTGTTTTTTAAACACCTCTGACACACTTATGATAAAATGATTCAAATAAACTATGAACTTGTACCATTCAGGCTCGGTAATTTCATCACCTTTTTGCTTTGTTTTGCTTTGTTCTTCTTTGACACCCCTCATTTCTTCTTTTCCTTATTTCTAAACTTATTTTCTCCTTTTCCTTTTTTCTTTCCCTTCTCCTTCTTCTTCTTCCTTCGTTCTTTGATTTGATTGCCTTGCCTTTGCCTTTTTATACACTCATACCAATTAAGTATTGTATTTGTTTCATGATTTTTAAAGAATTTGTTTTACTCCACTTTAGCCTAGTTTTACCATATTGAATTGAACTTAATTGAATTTAACTGAATCTGTCGTCATGTGACTATAGCTTATCATCCCTCTTCACCACCATCTCTTGTCTACTTTAGGCATGGTTGTATATTTCCACATTGTTTTGTTCTTTTGCTCTTTTAACTCTTTTATCTTTATCTTCTCTTTCTTCTACTTGTTTTTCCTCTTTTCTTCCCTCCTTCCATTTCTTCCACTTCTTCTTCTTCTTCTTCTTCCTTTCCCTTCTCTTCCGTATCCTATATGAATTGTCCATTGTCGCTTTCTACTACAACTTCCTATATCTTTTCCCTCTCAGCCTTTTAACACTCTTCCTCTGTAAATCTACCCCACTCTTAATTTCAATAAGTTACAGTCAGTCAGTCAGTCAGTCAGTTTTACTCTCGATTTTTCCACCACGTACACTTGCTCCGTTTACCGCTTAATTATTGCTTACTTTAGTCCTTCTTTCACATGATTTCAGTGCTATTTAATTCAGATTTCTTTCTATTTTATGTTTCCATATGTTGCAATAAGCTATATTTCTCGTATTTATACTGATTTATTTTACAAATTCAATATAATTGCTTTGTTATATATTACATTATGTGTTATTAATTTTGTTTGTAAACTTTTGTAATTCGGCTAAACACCGCGATGAAAGTTTTATTTGAAATAAACCATTTTGAATTGAATTGAAGTGAAGGAATTAAAGCCCCACTGTCCTACTTGTAGCTACTTGCTCCCTCTATATAGAAAACTTCCCCAGTCGGTGCCTGTAATTGGTCCCCGATGATCCTCTTTTTCTTATGTTATAGTAGAGAGCTGAGTTAATGAGATAGCCACCTGTCAGTGACCTCCTGCTGTGTGGTACTGGTCCAATCCCTTCTGGCCCAGTAGTACTGACGGTCTCTTTAAGGTGTGCTTAGTTTAGTGGCAGGCAACTCATTGACCCTCTAGATCTATATGTTTTGTAATTGATTCTTGCCTAATTCATGTACTGTTGTTGTTGTTGTTGTTGTTTCAAGATGTTACCCTACTTCCATGTTTTTATTTCTTGATGTAAAATAAATGCGGGACGGACCGCATTTGATCATGAAAATCAACGTTGTTTATATAAACGTACACGTGAGACGATTACGCAATGTTGCGCTAGTATACCGGTAAGTCGATCGAAGATTGGTGAGCGACCCGTATTAATCCCGAGGCCGCATCCGGGCCGCATGCATGTGTACCTGGGCTGTGGAGCACTAGTATTACGGTTCGTATGGAAGTGGATATCGCCACAGCTGGTTATTAAGAAGCCAGTTAAACCTGTAGCATTTGTATTTTTAAGAAGCTTATTATCAGAATAGGAAACTCATGAGAAAGGTAAACGTCATGCGAGCAAGATACTAGCATCCGTTGGTCTCCAGCGCCAGCGCAGCACGCAGGGGGGCGGGGCGTGCTGCCCAGGGATATTTGCGCTTTTGGGGGGTATAATAAAACGCTCTGTATGCATGTACAATGAATTGACTATTGACTGTGAGTGTGCATGAGTGAACTTCTGAAGTCTGTGGCTGGCTGATGGTACAGTAAATCTGTCTATAAAGGTCACCCTTGCCATGCCAAGCTAGGAGCAGAAATGTGATTATAATGCATGTAGATGGGTGGTCATTAGATGACTCGGCTCAGTCTCAGACAAGTTTGACTTCGACTACTTTTTATAATCTTCCCTGTTTTAATATTAGTAATCTACATTTTATTTCATTTTATTTTCCTAACTTGTGTACCAGATGCAGAGGTATATAGAGCTAGCCTGCTACGTATTGCTAGCGCTAAGTCTGCTAGACTCAGTGAGTTGTATGGATATATATGCCACTAGCTGGGGTGCATGGCATATATGCCCTCTATAGCTCATTCTTGTCACTTAATTCATATTTAAATTAGGGAGAATGCATGATCATTATAATGTCAGAGTTGAAAATGACCCTCTTTTTGCCTAAAACATGTCCAAAATATGACTAAATAGACTGTAGCCTAGGTCTATTTAGTCATATTTTGTACCTGTTTTGATGAGCACATTACGTGCAAATTTGCATGAAGTGCCCTATTTTCGCGGACTTTTCCTTATATTATGCAAGCTAGTCACAGGTTCTCCCCAAAAAATACTACCTTTCTACAAATCTATAGTATTGAATCATTTGAATGTTTGCAAATTAACGTCCAGATAAGTACCTCAATTTTCTGAAAATCTCTAATTATTCCATTGTGCGAACACAAAGCCGACCTGAAGACATGATCAGCAGTTCAGCACTCACCCAAATTAAATGGCAAAAAGAAAGAGAGAGAGAGAGAGAGAAATGAAAAATAAAAAGAGGGAAGAAAAAAGGGAACATGAATAGAAGACAACCCCTTTCCACACCAACCCCTAGGGGAAAATACCCCCTGTAAAGTGTTGTACACTAATTATGATTTATAATAAGAGTCTTCTTGAGGCTGGATTTTGTAGAACTCAAATATGAACAACTTGTTGTATTTATTAGATGTATGTTAAGCCGCATTACAATCTGCGGTAGCAATAATCATGGGCATATGATATAGGTCATTTGTTGAACATACATGTAGATATAAAATGATATCATATCACAATCCCTCTTCTCAATGAAAACTTAATTTCATATTTAGATCCATACTGTTTAAAATATCTTTTTAAAATTCTTTGCTTAAGAAATTAAACTTGTGCTAATATGAACTTACAATTTCGTCCCTTTCTTTGTTTGTTTGTTGTTTTTTTTTCACCAAAAACAATTTGAAAATTCTATCACATTTGTTTTTCATTTGAATGCGAATTGTTTGCTTATTTATCTAAAATGTTTTGATCAGACTTCAGTTATCATCTTGCTTTATAATGCAATAAACTTAATTAATAAACAAAACATGACATATTCAATATGTCTCTTTAAATCTAACTACTCAAAACCTTGTAAACATTGTTAAAGAAAGCAAAAGACAACTATTATTTGAATTATCTCCAACCATATCAATATTTTACATATCGTATCTCTCTGGTTTCTTAATAGTACGACCTGATCTGGTGGTGTATGGTTGGTGGTGATTCGATGGTGTGTCTGGTTTGCTTTGTGTTTGTTCTGTTTGTGCATTCTGCTGGTCGTGTACATCAGTATGTCTATCACTAGCATGTTGACGGTTTTGTTCCATGCTGTCCCTCTCTTGGGTTGGTTTGATGTGCCTACGATTTCGTCGCAGAGTGTAACCTGATGATGTCTCTACTTCATATGACCTTGGTTCTGGTCTCCTGTTTGTGATCTTTCCTCTGTCCCATCTACCAGTCTCTTGATTTTGGATTCTGACTTCTTGTCCTTTGTGTAGTGGGGGAAGGTTGGTAGCGTGCTTGTCGTCAAAGTATTTCTTCTGGTCATCCTGCCTGGTCTGCAGTCTCTGGTAGATGTCATCCTTTTGGGGTGACTGGTTCCGAATTCTGGTCGGTATGTTGGTTTGGATCTTCCTCCCCAGTAACAGCTCTGCTGGAGATGGTAGATGGCTGTCCAATGGAGTGGCTCTCAGGCATTGCAATGCCTTGTTGACGCCTATGTTATCTCTCTTAGCTTTCTTCATGGTGTTCTTGACAGTTTGTACTTGCCTCTCTATAAATCCATTGGATTGTGGATATCTCGGGCTTGAGGTTACATGTTGGAAATTCCAGTCTCTGGCAAACTCTACGAATATGGCACTATTGTATTGAGGTCCATTGTCGCTCATTAGTCTCTCGGGGGTTCCTTGTTCAGAGAAGATTTCCTTAAGCAGTCTGATGACAGCACTACTTGTTGCTTGCTGTGGTAACTGCTTTACAATTGGATACTTTGAGTATACGTCAGCAACAAGAAGGTACTCTCTTCCATCAAGTGTGAAGAGGTCAGTTGTGACAAATTGCCAAGGTCTGACAGGAATTTCATGTGGCTGCAGAGTCTCTGATGGCAGGGAGTTCCCATATTCTTGACATACAGAACATTTCCGTACCATCATCTCGATCTCCTGATTTATGCCATTCCAGAAGATACAGCTCTTTGCTCTCAGTTGGCATTTGATGATGCCTTGATGTCCCTCATGTAGCTTGTTCAGGTATTCCTTTGTCAGGCATTTGGGGATGACAATTCTTGAACCTTTCAGGATAATCCCGTCTTCAATGGACATCTCGTCCCTGTATGGCCAGTATTTGATCAGGCTTTTGTCAAGTTTACGCCTTTCTTCTGGCCATCCCTCTAGGATTACATCTCTCAGGATGCAAAGTTCACAGTCCTCTGATGTTGCGGTGCGGATCTCCAGTAGCTTCTTGTCTGAGAACATTACAAAGTCAACTTTCATGTGCATTTCAGGAGACTCAGGAGGCAGAGGATTGAGTCTTGACATGGCATCAGACAGAAGCATCTCCTTTCCAGGTTTATATTTCACTGTCATGTCATACCCTTGGAGTCTGAGCAGTAGTCTTTGTAGTCTTGGGGGTGCAGCTCCAAGGTTCTTGAGAGTGATCATCTCTAGTGGTTTGTGATCTGAGAGGATAGTGAAACTTCTGCCGAAGACGAACGTGTGAAACTTTTCACATGCGTAGACAACTGCTAGCATCTCTCTCTCAATGTTAGCGTATCGCTGCTCGGTGTCTGTGAGGGACTTTGAGGCAAACGCTATTGGTCTCCCTTCCTGTGTGAGGGCTGCTCCAACGCCTTTCATCGATGCATCTACTTCTAGGACAACAGGTTTCTTTGGATCAAAGTAAGCAAGTGTGGTCTCCTTGCAGATCATCTCTTTGATGGTCTCAAACACCTTCTGATGTGATTCAGTCCAGCTATATATCACATCTTTCTTCACAAGTTCCCGAAGTGGTGCAGTCAGTGAGGCAAGTCTTGGAATGAATGGTGACATGTAGGTCACAATGCCTAGGAACTCTCGGAGTTCTGTCACGTTCTGTGGTGCGTTCAGGGCTGATATGGCTGCTGTCTTCTGTGGGTCTGGTTGCACGACATCTTTGCTGAAGACAAGGCCATAGAATCTCACTCGGTCTTGCTTGATGTGGCATTTGTTCCAGTTCAGGACGAGTCCATGCTCCTTTGCGACGCGCATCAGATTGTGTAAGTTGGCGTCATGTTCCACTGCCGTCTTTCCTACGACTGCTATGTCATCGGCCATTCCTATGACTCCAGGACATTTCTCTAGTATTTGATTCATTCGTTGCTGGAACACGTCCTGAGAAACACACAAGCCAAAAGGTAGTCTTTTGAAACGGTAACGACCAAAGGGACTATTGAAGGTCGTCAAATGGCTTGATTCTTCATCTAGCTGTATAGCCCAATATCCATGTCTGGCATCCAGGGTACTGAACACTGTTGCTCCTTCAAACTGGTGTCGGACTTCTTCAATGGTTGGCATCGGCATATGGCTTCTCTTGATTGCCTTATTTAAGTCTTTTGGGTCAAGGCAAATTCTCCATCTTCCATTGGGCTTCTTGGTGTATGCCAAGCTTGATACCCAGTCTGTTGGCTTAGTGACACTTTCTATCACTTCAAGACTCTCCATCTCATCAAGTTCTTTCTTGATGTCATCCTTTATGCCTATCGGGCATCGTCGAACTGCATGTATCACAGGAGCCGCATCTTTGTCGATCACGATGTGGTATTTCCCATCAAATTTTCCGATTCCATCAAATCTATCGGGATACAAAGTCTTCAAATGCTCTCTATCTTTGATGGGACTATCATGGCTCTCCATCAGACTGCAATTCAAGACTACTAATCCTAGATCCAGGCACAACTCAAGTCCAAGGATGGCCGGTCTTTGAGTCTTCACCACAAAGAATTCTCCATTTGCTTGTCTGTCCTGGTGGTTACAGCTCAGCGTATGTAGGCCTACTTGTGGAATAACACTCTTTTCACCATAGCCTGTTATCGTTATCGGTGACTTTCTTAGCTTTCCTGTGATAGGTTCCCCATTAGAGTCCACGCGATCAGGGTACATCTTCTGATAAATGCGTAATGGAAGAATGTTCCCTTCAGATCCTGTGTCAACTTTGGCTTTTAGGGTTGCTGGTCCTCTTCCGATCTCAACTCCGATCACAGCGAAGGCTTCGTTCTTTCTGATCTGGTCTACACAGATGGTCTCAAACCGCATGTCGTCAGTTTCTTCTGTTTCTTCCTCTTCTTTCATCTCATGGAGTCTCTTTGATCTCTGTGCTTGCGACCTTTTCGGATATGTCTTTGTAGCTTCTTGTTTCCTTTGCCACTGCTGTTTAGATTCTTGTTCCTGTTTCTTCAGTCGGCAGCATTTCTCCCAGTGATTCATTTTATCACAGTTTCTGCATTTGGTGCCATAAGCAGGGCACTTCCTCGGTGGATGGTTCAGTCCACAGAATGAGCACTGTTTCTTCCTTTGGATATGTTGCTTCGTCATATCAACGTTGACGGCTTGACCATGAAGGAGTCTCATATCCGCCTCAGTTGCCTCCTGGGTTCTGGCGATGTCCAAAGCTGTATTTAACGTCAGTTTCTCATCCTTGGCCAACAATGTTTGCTGTACCTTCTTGCTTGAGGTGCCAATGACGATCTGTTCTATGAGGCGACCTTCAAGTTCAATGTCCGCAAACTTGCATTTTTGTGCTTGTATTTTGCATCTGGCCATGAAGTCGTCTATGGCTTCGGCTGGTTCCTGTGCCAATTTCTGCAGCTGAAATCTTGCCAGACGGAAATTGGTCTTTGGTTCGAAATGTTTTATGAAAGCTTCGAAGACCTCAGCTGGGGTCTTGAAGTCCTTTCCCCAGGATTTGTGAATCCTGATACCCTCTTGACCCAGCCACAACAGGATGTATGTACATTTCTCTTGGTCAGACTTCTTGTTAAGCGGCCCTGAAAATATCAACTCACAATAGTATTGAAAATTTCTAAATTCAGTCGGCAAATCTTTGGATGCCCAATCCATGCAGGGAGGGTTGATTCCTGTCATCTCTCCCATGTTGTTTGTTTGTGTGTGTGACTTTGTAACAGCCAATAAAATCTAATATAGCCTAGAAGTCTAAGTCACATAAAAAAAAAAACTACTACTAGTCATATTCAGCCTTATACATAAAGGAGTAAGGTCATATAGTGTGCCTTATCCTAATATACAAATAGGAGTAGGGTTACATTAAAATTCACACCCTATCCTGTGTTATCAATACTGCAATGAGACAAAATATCTATGGCATTCGTTATACTGCATCGCATCAAACATCATCAATAATACAATTCCAAAGCAATTTATTCCTTTGCCAGTCCAACTCTTCCATGTCTCTATTAAATATAAGCCGGTCCTTCAATACTATCCATGGATTTACTCACATTAAATGATCCTGGTCAGGTTGGTGATTCAACTCAAACATGTGCAAATAATGAATTCAGCAAAGCGTCCATTATTTCAAAATGTTGAATCTTGATTAAAATCTAGTGTCTCTCAGTTCAAGTTCATATCTTATTCCATGGAGATCTGTATTCCCAGGTTTCACTCTCATATAGGTCTATAGTATGTAGGTGTCGATCGAGGTGTCCAGCTCCAGCGACGTCGTCGATCCTCCCGATGAGCTCCGAGTCCGTGTGGCTCAGTTCCAAACCAAAATGCAGGGCTGGGAGTATAGCGCCCTAGCTGTACTGTACTGTTCCCGGTCGAGCCTCTAGGCTCTGCTCCTGACGAGCCTCTAGGCTCTGCTCCTGGCGAGCCTCTAGGCTCTGCTCCTGGCGAGCCTCTAGGCTCTGGTTCTGCCTCCGCATCAAGCTGGTCCTGAATGTAGGGCAAATAATCACTTCTCGATCAGTGCTGTGCTGTGCTATCGGACGGTAGGCTCACTCGGTCTCAGTTCGTATGGGGTTTAAAATCTCATATTTGCGACTCACCAAATAATCAGTGTCGTGTTCTGCAGTACTCAAACGTCCCTCAAATATATCGCTGACCTGTTCAGAGCTTCACCTTTCTCAGTTTCAAATTCATCTCAGCGGAATATCAGTCCAAAATCGTTGTAGAGGAAAACTAACTTGCTCAAATCGCGAAGTTTCCGTCATTCACAATGTAAACAATCGACTCACACTGTTCCGTTCAAAATTCCTCCGCGGTTAGCGCGCGTAATTTTTCGTACGTGCTAGTCAGTTCCATACCGCATATACACACGAGCCAAATTAGCACAGGGGGTCGATGCGCGTAAACGAAATCCCAACCTAGGCCTGGCCGGTAAACGGTGCTTAAATTGTCCATAAAATCCAAATCCGGGCTCCACCTGCACTCAAAATGGTCTAGCAAAGTCCTGGCACCGCTGCCACCATGTAAAGTGTTGTACACTAATTATGATTTATAATAAGAGTCTTCTTGAGGCTGGATTTTGTAGAACTCAAATATGAACAACTTGTTGTATTTATTAGATGTATGTTAAGCCGCATTACAATCTGCGGTAGCAATAATCATGGGCATATGATATAGGTCATTTGTTGAACATACATGTAGATATAAAATGATATCATATCACACCCCCGCCCCTCCCCTGTCATGCAGTGTCTTGTTATCTAGACCCATGCAACGCCACTGACTAGAGTTTTTTAGATGGGGCCTTCTATAATATATCTTCCATTCAGCATTTTTTATTTTCTAAACGATTGATTCTCTTTGCAGAATGTTTCCTGAATCAGTTGGGTTATTGGCATCACAAATACGGCACGGCATCAAGGTATCCTTCTCAAAATCTTCATCTTATTCATCCCAAAGGAACTTCTACTCAGCTTCTAGGGTATCCATGATGTCTACATTAGCGAGGTCACCGTCTGTGGTCGTCTATAGTGAATGTACTGAAGGTCCAAAGGGTATCAAAGAGTGTCTTAAGACCATTAGTCCAAAGATCTTTGAAGGATGTACCTTCGTCGACCGAAATGAAGAACCATTGTCAGGTAAGCTTTTCTTTATTCAATTGTATTATTGCTCCTTTCACATAGTATTAACCTATGATTTTAAGCTAAATTTAGTAAACTATTATTTCAGAAATGTTTTCAAGAAAAATTAATTTGAATTTGGATTTCCCTTTTTTATGATTTAAATACTGGTAGTCAAATTTGTTGTTACGTTGTACAAATACTGCTTTTAAAGACGGCCTTGTCGAAAGTGAAAAATGAAAAGATGCCTTATATATCAACAGAAAGCTATAAGTCATAAATTGCAATAATATCAATTCATGTATCATTTATATGCTATTTTATAAATAAATTGGATGAATGCAGAAAATGAGGTTTTAATTTGCTTTAAAGGAAAAATATTTTGTATTCCTTAATATTTGTATTCCACATTCATTTGGCTTTCCATTGACTAATTTCTAGATATCCATCCCAAGGTTGCATTACAATGAAAATGAATGTGGTAACAATGTACAAACTTCTAACATTTTGTCAAACTTACTTTTTATCTTACAGATTTTTCAAAAATAATGTTCTCTCGTATCGCTTTTTCTCCTCTCACCACCCATCCCCTAACCCTCATATTCCCTTCCCTCCTCCCATCTTCCTCACCTCTTCCTCCCCTCCTCTCCTCCTTCCCTCCCACTCTCTCTCTCTCTCACTCTCTCTTTCTTTTTTTGTCTCCATCTCCCCAATGTTTTTTATTCCTCTCTTTGATAGATGAATCTGTGGAGAGTTTCCGCAAGGCAGAAATAGTTCTGATGGATACAGAGAGACTCCCTGCTTTGATGACAACTTTAGAGAATGTGAAATGGGTTCAGTCTACATGGGCAGGTGAGTTTCTACCCTTTAACAGTTGAAAATAGCCTGGGCCTGTATTCAATTCAATAGTTATGTTAGAAATATGGAGTTTTTGGATCAGATAAAACATTTAGCCAACCAACTGTGTTTAGATAAAGCTTTTGGCTGGATATTTTACCCTAACTTTAAAGGTACTATGTCCCATTTGCAGGCCCAAAAAATGAAAAAGTTAAATTCCAACTGCATTTGTAAGATAATACTAATTTAGAACTTCCCTAAAAAAGGTGGGGCTTGAAAATGTCTTCAAGTGGGAAAATAACGACTATTAGTTGTCAAATCGACTTTAGGGCTATAGAGCCCAAAAGTAATAGTCTTGATTTTCAGACAATTGTACCGAATGGTCATCAATTTTTATGCTGCGCAAAGATTCAATCTGTTTAATCTTGGCCATCACAAGAAGTGGGTTATTGATGTAGACAAAATGCTCATGTACCCTTTACAACTCTTTTAATGTATGTTATTACCAAGAAGAAAAAAGCCAGTCAGTCACTCAATAGTGTCTGACAGTGAAGTCTAACAAGTAAACGGGTTTCCTTGCATAATTTGAATATGAGGACACTGCTAACGTTTAAATTTCACAGATAGGACATACATGACATATTCATAATTCCTGCAAAGTTCTACAGCATTTGAGGTTGGCTGCAAAAGGGACATAGTACCTTTAAGATCTGGGCTAAAGCCTGAGTTTTTTTACTGATCTTAATAGACGTTAATACAAATGCTTTAAAGGGATAGTTGAGTTCATTTTTAAGACCGCAGATGCCTTCAAAGTGCATGGTTATTGCTCTTATTCTCATTTATGACATTTCTAGTGCCCTTTTAAAACGTAAAATTGCTAAGAAGGTAATTTTAGACCCAAAATGTGTAAATTAAGATTGAATAAGATCATACCAATTCAGCTCCACTTTCCCCAAAACACGGTGGCCCTTAATTAATCAATAATAACAATACATGGGCCGGCTGGTTGTGGGTATTATAACCAACACAAAAAAGCAAACAAAAAGCCTTGTTGGCTGGAATAAAACGTGTAAGGGGCTCTCTTGTTTTTCAACGGCTGGTTCCAAATTACAGAATATTTGTGGGGCACCACACATATTAAAAATGGTTATATTTATGGATATGTCAACCGTCTCTGAACTGATTTTGATAAAACAAAGATGATTTTGTCATTATAATTGTATATATTTCAAAATGGACACTCTTCCTTTAACTAGATGGCTCTTATGGCCTAATGTGAATGAAGATTGAAGCTTGTGCACAGAAATGTAACTTCCCCTTTCCTCTTTATTTTTAGGGGTCGACGCCTTCATCAATAAAATTGACCCTGCTCTGCTGCCCCCTAAGTTTACCCTTACCCGATTGGCTGGTGTGTTTGGCACTCACATGGCTGAGTATGTCATAGGTCATATCCTGGCTCATGAGAGATCTTTCAAGTTTCTTTGGGAGGCTCAACAAAAGAAAGAATGGTAAGTGCTCTTTTCATAACGGAGGCAATATGTTTTCTGTTCGTCTGTCCGTACGTCCCGTTCTCGTGATCACGTTATCTCAAGAACAAATTGATGGATTCCTGCCAAACTTAGGTCAAGTATGTATCTTCCAGAGCCAATGAACTGATTAGGTTTTGGGGTCATGAGGTCAAAGGTCACAGGGCTCATTATGTATGCAAAAATAGCTTGTGATCACATCATTAGAACCAATTGACAGATTACCATAAAACTCAGGACATGTATGTATCTTGTAGAGCCAATGAACTGAGTAGATTTTAGGGTCATGAGGTCAAAGATCAAAGGGTCATACATGTATATGAAAAAAAAACTTGTAATCATGTTAAGAGGCAGATTATAAGATCATGATCAAGCCAAATAGCAGATGATATTCAACAAGAACAGATTGATTGTACAGGTGAACTGTCTTTGTTGCTTGTGTTGAGTTTGATATGATTCTGTCTCCCATGCAGGGCCCTGGATGAATACTCTGCTACTAAGGGTTATCAACTCTTAGCGGGAAGGACAATATCAGTCATTGGTGCTGGAGATATAGGAACAGAGAGTAAGGTTCTTGATTGACATTCCATTGTACCTTGAGCATAGCCTTATTTTGTCAGTCTCTGGTTGTGTCAGATGCTGTAGAAGCAGATACATGGTTGTTTATTTATAATTTGTAGGAAGAAACTGGCTTCTGGAATGTGTAAAAGCTATATTATAGCAGCTAGACTGATGCCAGGGTAATGAATCATAAGGGGACAAATTATACAATCTTGAATGGGAATGAGTGGTATTTGTACCATTTCTATAGTGTTGTTATTTTTCTATAGTGTTGTTATTTACTAGAGATATAAAGCACTTTATTATTATTATTATCCTCTCTCTTCTTCTCTTGCTATGTCTCCCTCTGTCTCTGCCTCTGCCTGGCAGACCACCTCATTTGTCTTCCATGTGACAAATTCATCTAGTTATTATTATTATTGTTATCATATCATGATGATGTATTTTTATGCCTCCGCCACCGAAGGTGGTGCCGGAGGCATCATGTTTTCGGGTTGTCCGTCCGTACGTCCGTACGTACGTCCGTCCCGTTTGACCGTTATCACAATATCTCAAGAACCATTTAAGATTTAAACTTAAGACTCGGGAATAGTATTTATCACCATAGGAAGACGATCTGATTAGATTTTGGAGTACGTAGGTCAAAGGTCACAGGTCACAGAGATCAACTTATGAAATTCCTTGTATTGAGTTTGTTAGCACGATATCTCAAGAACCATTTGAGATTTAAACTTCAAACTTAAAGGTAATACAAAGTTTTGGTATGGGGTCATGAATTTGGTTCAAGTTAACATATTGGAAGCATATACGATCCTTCAATATTCAGTGATCGTTGTCGCGGTCGAAATCGACTCTAAAGTTATGAAATTGTAAATAATAAACACTTTGTGTTGAATAGCTCCCTCTCAAGGTCAAGATATTAATTAAGCTATAAAACAATGTTTATTGACTAAAATTGACTGATTAGCTATTCTCGTTCGGAAATTATATACCACAACTACATACTCTGAGATTTCCATGGTCGCAGCTACCATTGTACGGCCGTAGGAGCTATTTGAAATTCATCAAAATTTACCGGGAGCACCGGTAAATCTTTATATTCAATTTTTCTCGAAAGCAGAAGTGTTTTAGGGGCTAAAATTTCTTGTGTGTTTAATACATCCACAGGGTCATCCAAATATATTAAAATTGTAAAGAATCACTATCCACCCATTTTTCAAAATTTCCCAAAACTTTGTAATACCTTTAAGGATAGTATGTATCACCATAGGAAGACGATCTGATTAGATTTTGGAGCACGTATGTCAAAGGTCAAGGGTCACAGAGGTCAACTTATGAAATTCCATACATTGAGATTGTTATCATGATATCTCAAGAACCACTGGAGATTTAAACTTCAAACTTATAGGAAAACAATCTGATTACATTTTGGAGCACGAAGGTCAAAGGTCAAGGGTCATAGAGGTTAACTTATGAAATTCCATACATTGAGATTGTTATCATGATATCTCAAGAACCACTGGAGATGTAAAAACTTCAAACTTAAGGATAGTATGTATCACCATAGGAAGACGATCTGATTAGATTTTGGAACACGTAGATCAAAGGTCAAGGGTCACAGAGGTCAACTTATGAAATTCCATACATTGAGATTGTTATCATAATATCTCAAGAACCACTGGAGATTTAAACTTCAAACTTAATGATAGTGTGTATCACCATAGGAAGACAATCTGATTAGATTTTGGAGCATGTAGGTCAAAGGTCAAGGGTCACAGAGGTCAACTTATGAAATTCCATACATTGAGATCGTTATCGCGATATCTCAAGAACCACTGGAGAATTTTCACTTCAAACTTAATGATAGTATGTATCACCATATCATAATATCTCAAGAACCACTGGAGATTTAAACTTCAAACTTAATGATAGTGTGTATCACCATAGGAAGACAATCTGATCAGATTTTGGAGCACGTAGGTCAAAGGTCAAGGGTCACAGAGGTCAACTTATGAAATTCCATACATTGAGATTGTTATCATGATATCTCAAGAACCACTGGAGATTTAAACTCCAAACTTGTTTAAATTGCTCTATGGCAGAGGCATCATTTTCGACTGCACGCAGTCAAAATTCCATCTAGTTTTTTCTTCTCTCTGATCAGTTGGAAAAGTTTGCAAGGCTTTCAACATGCGTGTTATAGGACTAGTGAGGAGAGACGTACCCAAGGAGCAACGCAATGCTGCATTTGATGAATACAGGTTAGTACAAAATCTTGAGTTCTTGCAGTGTGAGTTCCTTTGTAGGAGATGTACTGTGTAGACCATGGCGTAGCTACATGTTGCTGAGGAGAGTACATTCTCCTAATCATACTGGATAAAAGGAAAAGATATAGGGTTTAAGAAAAGAAGAGAGACAGAGACAGAGAGAGACAAAGAGAGAGAGAGAGAGGGGGGGGGGTCGAAGAACATGAGAAGAACAAGATGGGACGCCCCAATGCCCTTCCCGCTAATTTGCAGCCTTACTAATTCATTTTGTATCTGCATGCAATGTAAGACTGATGCTGATCTTATTATTTCTATTGTAGTATTCGAATTCAACCTCTGATTGATATTTTCCCTGTTATCTTTCAGGTTAACCGAAGAGCTTCCCTATGTTCTTGAAGAGGCTGATTTTATTGTAAATGTTCTTCCAAGCACTGAGCAAACCATGGGATTCTTTTCAGGAAACACACTCTCTCATTGTAAAAAGGTATGTTAGTGGTGAACTGTTTTACAGAGGAAAATAATCCTGTTTATTTTAATCACCCTTAGAAATTAATCTGTAGCAGCAAGACGAGTTTATTAAAGTATGTGCAAAATTTCAGATCAAAGACACTGTCATTTGCTCTCGATCTATGAGTAACAATTGAAGCCCCCATTGTGTACACAACATACGGGATGAATAAAACACTGACAGTTGCAAAATTCAAGTTTGAAAAGAAAAATGACAGCAATTTTTCAAATAATTATAATATTTTGCCACCATATTTTAAGGAAAGTTTTCAATATTTTACATTTTGACCATTTTACAAGTTTTGAGAATTCACAGTGCAAATCCCTGCAGTGGCTTTTAAGAAGAATGAAACCGAAAAATAAATTTCTCTAACCCCTTCTCACACAAATGGAATTGTTGCCAAAATTGTATAGGTTCATTTTATCTTGATATATTCCAAAATAGGGACAAAACTTATAATTCTTTAGGATGATACTTAGGAGAAAACGTACTGGTCGGACGGAGAACCCCAACCCATATTGCCCTCTTTACGGCTTGCCAAAATTATCGAAGCCGGAAGGAGGTTATTGATTTGGTCTCAGCCTAACTAGCAGCACCAGCAGAGGCATGTTATCTTGAAATTCATGACTTTAACCAACACTGTATATAACTCAAGTTTCATGCCAGAATGTTTAATATGCGTATTGATTTTAATTCATTGATATTTCTCTACCATAGAAACCTGTCTTCATAAATGTTGGCAGAGGAGATGTAATTGATGAAGCAAGTCTTATCAATGCTATCAAGTGAGTAGAAACATTCTTGACTTTATAGCTTGAAAGCACATGACTTTTACTGTAATTAGAGTTATCTCTTAGACACAGAAGTGTGATTGTTATAATTCTTTGTTTTTAAGTAGTAAGAGAAGAGATTTTGAAATGTCCTGATTATTCAAACAAAGATATACAGACAACCACCTGTCAGTGACCTTGCAGAGAGGTCTAATCCCTCCTGGCTAAACTACTACAGACAGGCTTTAAAGGTGATCTTGAGTCATCATAATTCAGCTTTCTTGACCTTGAATTCATACATTTCCTCTTTATGACATTGACAAGTAGGGTGGGCTGTGTCCTCTAGAATCATATAGACCTTCTTGCTCTAACAACTGAGATTGTTTGCAACTTTTTATCTTCCAAGGGGTAGAATGGCTTTAACTTTATAACAATATTATGCTTTTATATATCGTTTAATACATCAATGATGTCTCTAAGCGCTTTACAGATATATTATTACCCCGTTCATCGGATTCAGGCTTACCCGCACACAATGTGTGCACTATGTCCACTCCCTGGTGAGCATTCCAGCTAGGCGCCATTTTACAGATGCTCACAATGCTGAGCAAACTACATTAATTTTTGCATCCTATGTTAAAGAGTATGATTCAGGACCTAGCTTTTGGTAGACATGCAGTATGATTAATTTTCCTTGTAATGATCAATTACTCCAAATGAAAATATATACAATAATCTACATATATAAATGATTTTTGTTTTGTTGCATTTGCAATCAGGGAAGGATGGATATGTCATGCAGTACTTGATGTTTACAAACCAGAACCTCTCCCCAAGGAGAGTCCAATTTGGACTATGCCAGAGGTGTGTATATCATGGTAGAGAGTTAGGAAGACAGATAATTGTTATAAATGCAAAATAGAATAGAATAGAATGTTACATAAGTGATGATGAAGGAGAAAAAAGAGGAGATGACAAAGAAGAAGAATGAGGAGGAAAAGAGGGACAAGAAGAAGATGAAGGAAAGTAGAAGAAAAGGAAAGTGAATGAGATGAAGATTAAGGAGAAAGAGAAGCAAAAGAAGAACAAAGAGAAAAAGAAATGTGAAGAAGGAAGAGAAGGGGGAAGAAAGTAAGAAAGGACACAAGAGGATTCTTTTGGGTGAGGAATAGCAGATTTCAAATGTGAGAAAATAATGGGTGCAGTTAAACGACAAACAGAGAATTGATCATTGTTTTAATACATGTTTATTCTTAAAAAGAGGTTAAATTTTAAAAAATGTATCACTGTGTCGTTGTATTTTCCCCATAAAAGAAGAAAACTATAAGCCACTCAGTCCTTATCTTTCCGTATTTGTTTCAATTACTCAACTTTCCTACAGGTCACCATAACTCCACATGTTTCTGCTCAGACCCATGCGCCAGAGGTTCGTATTATAAACCCTTTCACTGCCAATCTCTATTCATTGTGTTTAATGATATAGACCGGTAGTGGTAAAATTGCGGTTCAAGGGTTTGGGTGCAAAATATCCATTCAATATTGTTTAAATATTGCCTTCACAGGGTTGGATGGCAGTACTTTAACCTAAATTTGCAACAACAAAAAATATATGCATAAATGTTCAATGTTGAAGTGCATTCGCAATATATTTATCCAGGCCAGATCGATATGATAATTTAACAAATATATCAATTAGTAGGCGGTTTCCCGGCAAAATTTTTATCATCACGTATTAGTCAAAACATATTCTTTCACATGATTGGTAATAAGAGCTTCCATTTCATTTTTTTGAGAGGGGGGCATTTTCAAAACTGGTCTTTACCTTTAATCCCTTTCAGATATCATGTGAGGGAGCATACTACTTATAATTGGGCAGGCAGTAATAATAACAAGACACTTTTTTAGTTTTATCTATGCCGGACATTCTTTACGCGGGACTGCTGTACTTGTAGCTACTTGCGCCCTCTATATGGCAAACAATGACTAAGGGGTACCCGTTGGTCCCCTATGTATGTTAAATTGAGAGCTGATTTGATGAGATGACCACCTGTCGGTGACCATGCAGGCAGGGGGGTATAATCCCTCCTGGCCAAACTAGTGCAGATAGGCTTTAAACCTGTTGGAATCATCTGGAAGATGGAGAGGGGTCCAGAGCAAAAGCTCAAGGACATGTCAAAGAAAGAGATAATCTTGAAAAGCCTCATATAATCTAACATTTCTAATCTCTAATTAGAAATTAATCTTGTACTAAACTATGTTATTTCAAGAAAGAACATTGACGTATATTTCAATTTCAATACCCTTTGAAAAAGTAGGAATTACTTGCTAAGAGGGAGTCGGGTATGGAAAATATTTACTGTACTGTTTGAATTGAAGACAACAGACCGCTTTAAAAGCTCATGTATTTATTTAAAAATTATTTCATTGTGTGTTTGATTTCTAGATAACGGGGCTTTTTGCTGATAACTACCAACGTTACATAAATGGAGAAACTCTGAGACATCAAATAAACTGGGCGGCTAAGTACTAGGAGGTGGAGATTATGAAGAATGTCTTTAGGAGAACTTGAAGCTTCCAGGATTTAATTCAACTGAATTTGAATTCATTTCTTCATCTTCTTTTTAGAACACATGTATAAAGAGTCTGCATTTTGAACTGTCGCATTTAGTGTTACTATGTTCAAGTCAAATGTACTATTCTGTATCCATTTGTATCTTATTGATCTTTATAATCTGTAATTTTGTATTGACATGCAAACGAAACGAATTTCCAATAATTGGACAATAAAATTTGAAATAAGAGTTGAGTTGAAAAGCATGACATATGTACAAACAATACATGGTATAAAAGGAAGTGAACAAATAAGCATATAATTGTAAATGGGGTTGGATCATAAAGGTTTCCTCAAAATGCATTATTGCAACCAATTGTATGTTATATATCTGGAAAAGATGATGATGATAATGGTGCTATTAATTATATTATGTTATTGATCATGGTCTTCCACTGTGTATAGGTATATATATCATATTATTGTACGGGCAATTATTGTGTATATACATGCATAAAGTTGACATAGAATTAAAATGAAAGATGAAAAAATTAAGTTCTTTTAGGTCATCAAAAGAAATTTGCTACAAATCTTCCAGAGTAGTGAGGTTTATCTGGCATTGGAAAGCATTTGAAATGGAAAGTACAGGTAAATCCTATTGTATTCATGTAGTACACTTGTACTTAACTAGTTTCTGATTTTCTTTGTGTGTGTTTGAGTACGGTGTTGAGCCAGTTTCAGCTTCAGATCATGATTATTTATCAAACTCTATGATATGTTTTTGTTTCATTATGTAGAATCCTTGACAAAAATATGTGTAATTTTTCATTTCATGTTTATTTGCTTAAAATTCAAAAGCACATATTTTTTTTTTTTAAATCAAGGTTACATCAATGAAGTTGAAATAAACAAAATACAAAACATTCATACAAACAAACAAACAGACTTGGTGTATGCAATGACGAGGCAGGGTTGCATATTGTAGGGAGAGAAGCAAAAATAGCAATAGATTCGCGATTAAATTAATTTAAAAAATGCAATCTCGTTTGAACCATTACCCCACCCTAAATCTTTGATGAATTACCTTGTTCAAAACATTTCAGTGGTACTGGGATTCAAGTTGTTCAAAAGAAGAAGATTTTTACTTGCATTTTATGTAAATGGGACACTCAGCACTTCATATCCTTTGTGACACACACACAAGAATCTTCAGGAGTGAAGGAGCGATTATGGCGAAGAAGAAGAAGAAGCAGAAAATAATAGGAAATGCATTGAATTTTTACAAAGAAATGTATGTAGCTATACAACATTGTATAAAGACTTCTGAAAGTTTCAGAAGTAATTTGATTTGATTTTTCCACAATGTATTGTACTTACTATGAAAACAAAGATTTGTTATATGATTTGATTCTGTCTTGCCAGGAAAGATGTACTTGTGCTTTTTCATTGTATGTACATAAAAAAAAATTCATCAGCTTTCATTGAACAATTATGAACTAATAAATCAAATCAGAGAGTATTTACTTTGCTTTTATTTTCCTTTCATGCCAAGAAGCTTGTCATTTCATCTTCTTTCTTACATACTTTTGAGCCTCTTTTGCTGATATGTGTATGCTTGTAACCCTCGATCCCCCATCCCCTTTTTCTCACTCTCTCTCTTTCTCTCAATGTTTTCTTTTGCTCCCATGAACAAGCTTATGATTGATGTTAGTCATGCTGATTTATCTAAGAAGTGACACAAGTGCCGAAAGTGAAACAGAATGAGATTATAATGTGTATATCAGGAAGTCATTTGAATAGTTTATACCTGTGTGGTAGACACCAAGGAAAGGGGGTTATTAAAACCTGAATATATATAATTTGTTATAATATTACAACATCTGAATGCAGAATTCATCATTTATATATCGGTATGACTGTATTGATACAACATAACGGTGGTCAACTGTGTTGCACTGTCAGGATGCTGGCATATTCCACTTGTTGGAGCTGGGCAAGCAAAGCAACCAGTATTAGTAATCATCAGGGGTGCATGGTGGGTGGGGTGGGTGGGTGGGTGGGGTAAACTAATTATATGCTTTGATAAAGTCGGGGGAGGGGGGGGGGAGCTATACAGCCAACAAAAACACATCGATTGGGTATGGGGGTGCATGGGGCAATGCCAACTATGATCTATCATGAGGTTGAAAAACTATACCAATATAAATGAGAGGCAGGGTTTATGATAAGAAAAAATAATGTCTGCCAACTATAATACCATATGCAAGAAGAAGAAAAAATAGAAATTAGGGAAATCTAAAAAGCTAAACGGGGGATATTCTAAAAATATACCAAAGTAGGGCATTATAGCCTATTTGTATTGGTTCTTATGATCATAGTGGTGGAACCACTGATCTCTATCAGTGGGTGGAACCCATCATGTGATATGTCTAATCTGCCGATCATAAAGGACACGCCCACCTTTGTGGCTGAGCCGCTGAATTATCATGTATGAAACAACGCAGCAGTGCATGGAGCCCTTTCGCTCGCAGAACATCGCCCGCCCGGCCGGCCGACACGTTGCCCACGCACCGTAAACGTATTTGCAGATCACTACATGCGCCCGTCATTGTTAATCGCCAACATTGATCCCGTGTTTGTGAGTAATGTGACATTATTTTATTTCAGAATACTAATGAACAGATGAAACAACCTCATCTAAATAAATCGTTGAGATGAGACCTTACTTACACTTGGGAATTTGGTATGGTACGTGGCGTGGAATCTGGCTGTAACTTTATGGAACAATCGCGATGCGCGATGCGATCGATATGGATGGATGCCCAGGGGCCAGGGGCGAGCTGGTCCGGCCAGGCGCGGCGCAGTGCAGTGCTAAGCTAAGATTAGGCAGACCACCAAGAAGTCACTAACTTCTTGGGCAGACCCGACCCGTATGATATAGTAGAGTCTAACTGCAGCTCCCTGGATCTTGAGTTATAATGGGTGGGGTCCTGTAAATTTGGCACTATATAGTACTAGTACTGTAGAAGTACTATAGTAATAGGGCAACCTAAACTTAAAGCCGGTAGGCCCTAATATTATGAAGTTTTGGAAAATTTTGAAAATTGAGTGGATGGTGATTCTTTACAATTTTGAAATATTTGGATGCCTCTGAGCTCTGTGGCCCGCTCCGGGAACGGAGGGACCGCATTCATGTTCCCAAAATGAGAAAAATTGAATATAAGAATTTACTGGTGCTCCCGGTAAATTTTGATAAATTTTGATAAAGTACAGCCGTACAATCGTAGCTGCGACCATGAAAATCTCGGAATATAGCGTAGACTCTTACTATAGTTTTATTGTGTACTTGGGGATATGCGCAGGGATTTTGGTGGATTTGCTGAATTACGTGTATTACAATTAAGTGACAATCCCTGCGTAACAAATTTCCCCATTTTTGTTAAATTCTTGACTTAATTATAGCTACCCAGACCTCTTAATTCTATAGCCAAATAATTTTCAGAAGTCCATCATGCCCCGATCATGATCACAAATCAACTACATTCTAATCTTTTGACGACTAAAAATGTTGTCGATGAATGTATCTCAATCACTGTCGGTATTTGTGTACTCCTTTCTATTTGGACAGATTTTTCCCACATTCTACAAAGATGGATCACAGACTGTTGAATGCCATCGTAGCTATACAAGCCATAACACTCTGCATTCACAGTGCTTATTCCCTGGATAATGGGCTGGCTCGGACTCCGCCCATGGGATGGTGCTCATGGGAACGGTTTCGCTGCGACACAGATTGTGTTCGAGATCCTGATAACTGCGTCAGGTGAGTTGTGTTTGGCTCCCTAGCTGTTAACTTATTAAATACTAATCCTGATTTTTTTTTTTAATGAGATGGGGTCTATGGAAAGTCAAGTTGAACATCTGGGACCCTTTTCTCAAAGCCTTTTTTCAATGAAAAATGTCAAAAATCAGTGACAAATCTGCTGTTAACCAATCAGAAACAAGGATTTCAGTAGCTTATAACAACAACTGTCATTTGTTACTGATAACAAGTTCTGTGAAACACCCCCTGGAGTATGGTATCAAACTGGTTCTTCTCTCAAGCATGTTGATTTGTACAATTAAGTTGACAGAATAACAGCTTGAAATCAAACCTAATATTGGTTTTGATAAACAAATTGATTGATTAAATTGATAAGAAAATCATTACATCTGTGTCCTTCTGGCTCCAGTCACTAGTAGACGAAATCAAAGTACTATAGTAACCTGTTCTTCAGGGAAAGAAATTTAAAAAATACTGTATGTTTTTTTTTAAGTTTTTTTTTTTTTTTCTCTCTCCCTTGAATATCAAATAAATAATTTGAACAGTTTAAATGTCATTATTGATGTTTAAATTAGATGTCACATTTAAATGAATTAAACAGTCATTTTTATGCCTCCGCCACCGAAGGTGGTGCCGGAGGCATCATGTTTTTCGGGTTGTCCGTCCGTACGTCCGTACGTCCGTCCCGTTTGACCGTTTTCACAATATCTCAAGAACCATTTAAGATTTAAACTTAAGACTCGGGAATAGTATTTATCACCATAGGAAGACGATCTGATTAGATTTTGGAGTACGTAGGTCAAAGGTCACAGGTCACAGAGGTCAACTTATGAAATTCCTTGTATTGAGTTTGTTAGCGCGATATCTCAAGAACCATTCAAGATTTAAACTTCAAACTTAAGGATAGTATGTATCACCATAGGAAGACGATCTGATTAGATTTTGGAGCACGTATGTCAAAGACCAAGGGTCACAGAGGTCAACTTATGAAATTCCATACATTGAGATTGTTATCATGATATCTCAAGAACCACTGGAGATTTAAACTTCAAACTTAGTGATAGTGTGTATCACTATAGGAAAACAATCTGATTACATTTTGGAGCACGTAGGTCAAAGGTCAAGGGTCATAGAGGTCAACTTATGAAATTCCATACATTGAGATTGTTATCATGATATCTCAAGAACCACTGGAGATGTAAAAACTTCAAACTTAAGGATAGTATGTATCACCATAGGAAGACGATCTGATTAGATTTTGGAGCACGTAGGTCAAAGGTCAAGGGTCACAGATGTCAACTTATGAAATTCCATACATTGAGATTGTTATCATAATATCTCAAGAACCACTGGAGATTTAAACTTCAAACTTAATGATAGTGTGTATCACCATAGGAAGACAATCTGATTAGATTTTGGAGCACGTAGGTCAAAGGTCAAGGGTCACAGAGGTCAACTTATGAAATTCCATACATTGAGATTGTTATCGCGATATCTCAAGAACCACTGGAGAATTTTCACTTCAAACTTAATGATAGTATGTATCACCATATCATAATATCTCAAGAACCACTGGAGATTTAAACTTCAAACTTAATGATAGTGTGTATCACCATAGGAAGACAATCTGATTAGATTTTGGAGCACGTAGGTCAAAGGTCAAGGGTCACAGAGGTCAACTTATGAAATTCCATTCATTGAGATTGTTATCATGATATCTCAAGAACCACTGGAGATTTAAACTCCAAACTTGTTTAAATTGCTCTATGGCGGAGGCATCATTTTCGACTGCACGCAGTCAAAATTCCATCTAGTTTTTAATGATTTGATTTTCTTTAATTTATTGAACATTTTATACTTAAACTATGTATAATTCAATTTTATATGTATATTTCTGTCTTTCTTGCATTCTTTTTCTCCTTATACTCATCATGTATCATTGTGCTATCTTTCTTCATCTTTCTGCCTTGCAGTGAACATTTGTATAAAACCATGGCTGATCTGGTAGTAAGTGAAGGATACAAAGATCTAGGTTATGAGTTCATTAACATGGATGACTGCTGGATGGCTAGTACTAGAGACAGTAATGGCCGTCTATACGGTGATCCGACCCGCTTCCCTAATGGCATGAAAGCTCTAGCAGACTATGTAAGTTTAATGCTCATTTGTTATTTAACCCATAGCCTCTGAGAATTGGATTGTTTCTGTATTAACCATATAGGAATCAGAAAATTCAGTGATCAATAGGTTAAGATGGATCATGGAAGAAGAACAAAATTATTATGATGAAGGACAGTGTAGCTCGTGTTAATCAATTGCATTATCTGTGTGTAGTTTATCACTTACCAATAGATGTGATTAATGGGGGAAATGTGCATCTGTCATTTGAGGATACATAAGGCCCTGCCCTGAAGATTTTATTTTTACAACAAAACCAAAATGACAGTGATATTAATCACGATCAGTTAATGAATGTTCTTTGCTGATTCCAATTATCTGTTGTTTCACATATGGCATATGTCTTTAATTCACATTTCTTAAAGTCTCCTCTAAATATGTACAGACAAGTGATTTTAATTCTGTGTCAAATGAAAACCAAATTCCCCTGGCAAGGATGTAAGTACATGTATGTAATGCACATTATGAAATATTGCATTGGTTTGAAACATATCTCAATCAAAATCACTGAATAATGCTGTTAATCTACCGAGACTAGAACCAACTGAAATTTATATTTTGATATAGCTATGACTGTAATAATAAAAATAATATTGCAATCTTGTATAGCACATAAAACATTATGATATAACGTCCCTTTGCGCTTCCAAAGAGCATTGGAAATTATTACTCTAGCTTTAGCTCCGGCAGCCATTTATTTCAAGTGCATTTCAAGGAATAATCCTACAAGGTACCACCTCACCTTGGTGGAGTATGTTAAATTGCAAAGCTTGTTATTTTGTCTCTTCTTTTTGTTTTTCCTTTTCATTTCATTTCCTTTCTCTCTCTCTTTCAGGTGCACAGTAAGGGTCTAAAGCTTGGCATCTATGAGTCCATGGGGTATGCAACATGTCAGAAATTGCCCGGAACCTTTGGTCATATAGAGACAGATGCTCAGACCTTTGCTGATTGGGGTATTGATATGGTCAAGATGGATACATGTCATACTCCATCCGTAGAACTCACAGGAGAAGGTGACCTTCATCACTTTGTATGTTTAGAGCCAGAAGGTCGTTGATCTACATGATTTAACACAGAGTCAATGTCCATCTGGCTCTCAACAGATGATTCCATTTTCAATGTTTCTATTGTGTTACGTTTACATGAATTATATATTTTCTGCAAGCGAATATTATGCAATGAAAAGCATAATAGACTACTGGTAGTATTCATATTTTGTTTTTCATTTCATAATCAAGACTGTAGATAGCTTCGAGGCATTTAAGTCATCCTCCATAGTTTTGTATAAAAAATGAACGTCCTGTTTGATGTCTTGAAATGTGCAGTGAAGAATAATTTTTAAAAGTTTCTCCACAGGATGCACCAGCTAAAATATAATCTATATTCTGTAAACATGTCACAATTTCAACAGAATAATATTAGCCAATTCAATTTCAATTTCAATGTTTTTTATGGGAAAATAATGCCAAAAAACCAAAACCAAAAATATACCGGTAGATGTTCTTGAAAAGAAAATGCTATTTTAAAATTACTGGGGACTATTGACCTGTTTCTATAGTTTATCCTAAAAAATACTTCCATTTGATGTGCCTTTCACAATGTATGCATCCATAAGACGAGTTTAGATTACTCTTCAAATCTTTGCATTTCTATATATTTTGGCAGACATTTAGCAAGATAATACAAATGTGTCTAAACTATAATCTCTCATTTCATCTGTAATTTTATTGTTCCATTATTTTGTTTTTGTTGTCATCATTATGGTCAGGTTTTATGAATTTCTCAAGGGCCCTGAACGGCACTGGAAGGCCTATTGTTTACTCCTGCGAATGGGCTCATGTTCAGTCAGTAAGTCACTTGTGATGAAAATTTGATCATCTTTTTATTTGGCCAAGTGATAAGGTTCCTTGTTTCTCATATATATAGGAATGTGTTTCTGCCATACATATAAATGTTATGAAGTCGGGTCAAATATATGTTTTCTTATTGTAGCTCTAAATGTGATCTTTCCCTGAAGAGAAGATGTGCTAAACAAGATCAGGGATGTGAGAACTTTAACGTGTGTTGTTGCTATGACTGCCATTGATACGTCTTCTCCTTAGGTTTCCTTCAGGACATTTTGTTTTAATATATCATTAATCTTTATCACGTTTATGTTCTTAAATATTGGTTTCGAGAGTCGAGACTTAAATTGTATCTTTGCCTTCCATGTTCTGATGTCTTCCATCACAGTGTTAAACTTCTTATATATAAGGCCTTTATATAAGTAATGCCCTACAAAACAAATCCGCCACAAACTTATTTTCAAAAATGTGAGAGGAAGAGATGATAAGGTTCCTGCTTGCACCTATATGATTTACCCATAAAAATGAAGGACACTGTTTTTTCATCTTTAGCAAGTGTCTCATTTGGATTTTGGTTTTAACTGCCAGGTCACTAATTTGAGATGTGTAATGAATTTCTCAATTGTGTGAAATACTACTGACTGGCTATTACAGTCTGACCCAAATAAAATTATTGAGAGCTCATCAAAACCGTTCATGACCTTCTATTTTGCTCAGTCCAACTTCAGCATCATAGCCGAGACTTGCAACACCTTCCGTAACTACATTGATATTCAAGATTCCTGGACGAATGTGATGACTATAATTGAGTTCTTTGCTTCCAAACAAGACATTTTCACCAATGTATCTGGACCAGGCAGTTATAGTGACCCTGATATGGTAGGTATATTTGTAGTTTCTAAAGCTGGTATTCATGTTCATAAGCCCTAATTTTTGGAATGTAATCAATATTATTGAAAAGAATCTTTGTATTTTTAAGGATTTATGGCCGGCATTTTAAATGGTTCATTGATATTTTTTTCCACTTGATGATGTAACATGAAAAACAAAAATTGCTCAGACTCAGTATTTCTTTGTCATTGAAGCAACACTTTATGTTTATTTTCATAACTCCAGTCCTAACATATATCAATTTGTTTAGATTTAGTAAAAAACAAAAGTTATCTATCGTCATTTTTGTTTTCATGTTTGAAATTCAATGTTCAGCAAATATGACTAAAATTGTTTTGAATACACAATATGCATTGTATTTTGGATCACTTATTGTCATTTCTCGTAAGAAAGTATTCACCTTTTCTGTTTCATAAGAAGTTGAATATCATGTCTGCATAAAATTTACATCGTAGATGATTATTAATGAAATTTAGTTTACTATCAGTCAGCGATTTTTACGTATTCTCTACCGTTTTTCATTCATTTACCTACTAGCTAATTGTTGGTGACTATTCCCTCAGTATTGACCAATCCAAGGCTCAGATGGCATTATGGTCCATCATGGCTGCCCAGCTAATGATGTCCAATGACCTTCGAACCCTGGCACCGTGGGCTAAGGAGATCTTGCAGAACAAAGAAGTCATTGCCGTCAATCAAGATCCATTAGGAATTATGGGAAAGAGAGTTTTTACGGTGAGAGATTGTTAGTCAAGTAAAGTAGGTTATTTTATGACCAATCTGTTGATCCTCTGTTGATTCTGATACCATAAAAGGGGTGTATAGGGACAATTGGAATGAATGACAACAACAAACTTAAAGAATTTAGGGGTCAAAATCCCAGTGCTGATGCAGATCCTTGTAATTTCATTTGAAAATGAAAATATAAAGTTACATTACTTTACAATATGTATATTTACTTCAAAAAAGTTTATAGTCCAAATCAAATGGTCAGTTTATTTGATCTGCTTGTTTATTGAGTGCAGTGCATCGTAAAAAGTGGATATAAAAGAATCACAGCACAAATACAGAAGTAGAATACCATGCACCTGTTGTCCTGATGTGAAGATTTCTTGTGACTTTATTTGTTTACATGGCAGTATAGCCTATTTGGATTCACCCATTTTTTATCAGTGTAAAGTAGATAGTATGGGGTATGATAGTAATATGTATGAGATAAAAGTGAAATAATGCTGCTTTGACACAATGATATATAAGCATATTTCTTATTCATACAAGCAAACAGTGTAGTTGACTATTTCCAAATAGATATCTGATATTAATTCATGAGAATTTTCACTAGACTCAGTATAAATTCATAAAATCATAACATTCATTGTATTGAAATTCTCTCATGAGTATAGGCTAGCAAATATTGTGATTCTATAATGAGGGTATCTGTCCTATTATCATTTAATACAGACTGCTGCAAAAATCGAGGTGTGGGCCAAGCCTCTGTCTGGGGAATCCTTTGCAGCAGTTGTCTTCAGCAAGCGAACAGACATGCCTTATAACTGTACTTTCACCATCTCCAAACTGAACTTCACTCACGCTGCGGGGTACAAAGTCCGTGACCTTTTCCTCTCCAAGGACCTGGGTACGTTCCTCCCGGGCGATGACATCAGCGTGATGGTCAATCCTGTCGGTGTGGTGATGATAAGGGCAGATCCAGTGATGAACTATCGCAATAAGGAAGAGAAAAATCGTGTCATTTCCACACTTGGTGATATCATTTATTCATTCAAGTAGGGTAGAATATGATATACAAGTTAAACATAAGATGTTAAATCCGACATGGTTTGAGAAAAGAAAAAGCAATCATATGACAGGACATGGAAATGTCATTTAATATTACAGCAACAAGAGTTTACAATAGTTATTGATTTGTTTAGTATATTTTTAAAACCTACATTGTACATGTTTATACTTTGGTTCCCAAAATCAGCATCAGATTGTGAAATTGCACCATAATAGTCCCCGCACTGTTACTGAACCTAAAGAGGTTTCTTTATTTTTAATGCCACTGAATGAAAGAGCACATGTCATACAATCTTACATAAATAATGGTACTACAAGTTATATCAAAAATGCATTTTTATCGTAACAGATCTTGCTTAAAAACCATGTTGGGGTGGGGGGCAAGATATCTTATTTGTGGCAATAAGATCAGTGTTTCCTTACAAAAAAAGTGGTCAATTGTAGTTGTTCACAATTAAAGTATATGTGGTAAGTTATAAAGAACTTCCATGCAGTGAGTTTGATGATTTTATTTTATTTTCAGTTTAGAAGGGTATGGTGTGTTTGATAATTATCACATCAATAAATTGAATAGGATAAAATCATATTTCAATGAAAAGCAGTAGCCTTAACAATGCAGTACTGCTTGAGTGGATATAAGGTGGTTTTTAATGAATGTTAAGGCCTCATTGTTAGTATTCAGAAAATTTCAAGTTTTGTCTATCATCTATCTACTATAAGCTGTTAAAACATGGCAATAAAAGTAAATTATCAAGGATCAAAGAAGGACTATTCTAAGTCTTCATAGTAGCACTGGCCACCTCTCTATAAAGGTAGCCATTTGTATTATCTCCCTTATGTATAGAAAGGCCACCTTTCTGTAAAGGTTATTCTTTCCTCTTATACTTGGATGACCATTATACACAGGTTTGACCATCTTTAATATACAGCAGTAGTTGTAACTGAATTGAAGCTATAATGAAAAATTTTAATTTTAATTTATAGTGATTCAGAAGGAATCAGTAATTTTTAACTTTTTAAACAAATGTAAAAATAGTCTGAATTGGAATTATTTCCCTGTGTTTGTTCAAATTAAGAGTCAATAAAAAAAAATGATAGTTGTAAACATTTCTAAATTTGATGTAACAGTTCTTTTAACAGTTCATTTTATAGATAAATACAAGTTGGAATATCAGTACTTACTGGTGAGAGTGCATGCCTTACAATATCGATGGTTGTATCAATTTGCTTTCAATTTATTTAGCCTTCACACCAACTATATTGAAAAGTCATCTGCTGAATTACTGTTGGCCATCTTCTGAATTTTTATATTGATCTGAAATAAATGAATATTTGAGTACTTAATTTGTCTATGATGTTTCAAATGATTTTTCGTATATATTTTTCAATATGCATATGTACTGTTACACAAAAAAAGTCATGTACAATGTAAATGAAGTTTCCTCATGAATACAAAATAATAGAACAAAGATTTTAGTCAGGATGTGTTTGTATATCTTGGTAAAATATATTTTCATGTATGAAAACGTTTTGTAAACTTTCATTTAGTACTAGTGATTTATGGGATTTCCTTTACACTTTTGTGAAAGGTTAAGTTTATGTTGTTTATTTGTTGTTATTTTGTGTTATTCATTATGTCATTGAATCACTAAATCAGTTGTAATGAAGGTATATTTAAAGTTAACCATTACTTGTGTAACTAGTAATTTTTCTTTTAGATACTGTATCATTCTTTGCAAGTCATTGTGCTCTCGTTCAATTAGTACCGGTATGCTTTAAGCATTAATATAAAAAGAGCATGAGCTTGTAATATTTTACAAATGTCTTTCAAATTGAGACCCTTATATTGGACTCGATGTAAAGGACCTGTCACTGAAGATCTAAATCCAATCTTTCCAGTTGAATCAAAAATGTTGAATAATGTCTATGTTGGTAATGGATGAAAGCAATACTAGTACTTTTAATCATCACTCATTTTCAATGTTTTTTAATATTCCTTCATCTACTATTGTAAAATTGATTCCAATAAATGCTATTTTTTCATAATACCAAAATACCTTTTGTGTTTGAAATGTTTTTCTTGTCAAAGTATAGAGCGTGATGAAATTTGCAGAATGTGAAGTTGGTCAATCAACCTGGTTAGTATAGGGATAGATAGGCCTACATTCATGCTTAAGCCTTAATTGCTATAAGATATCATTGTGTATTATATCCTTCACTCTCTTGTTATTTTCATGCTTCATTTTTGTCTTCCCTTTATTGTTTCTAGGGTGTTTTATCAACTTCTTTAAATCTCTCCTTTCTTTCCTTTGACTTCTTGCCCTTGTCATTCTTGTCCTTTATCTTCTTTATTTTCATTGTTATACTTCAGCTTTACTATATCAATGATGACATTATATGGCCATGTTAATTGTCTTCTTTTCCCAAGTATAATTATGTTGTTGTTTTTCTAAAGCCCTTGTGGCCAGATCAATTAACCAAATTTACTGAAAGGGTAAGAGCTAGAGAGAGAGAGAGAGAGAGTTTTATTTGATTCAAAGTTTTCACCATTAAAATGAAGGGATGAAATTATTATATAACAAACAGAAAAAAAACCTGACTTCGCTAATATTTTTCCAAAAACATTCATGACCATTTTTCATAAAATCAATGTGGTTTCTTTCCCCGATTCCGATAAAGAGGAAATCACGAAGACGGTTAGTGCAAGGTACAAGGAGAAGCCAAAAAGACTGGAATGCATCTAAAGTACATTTTGCAATTATACATGAACAAAATAAAAAAGATAGAAGCGTCAAAGAAACTGGAAATTATAAAATAATATTATCACAAAGGGGCGGAGTAGCCTATGCGACAGGCTAGGGGCGGAGGAGCCTGGTAAAAGTGCCCTCGAAATTACAAACAAAAGGGTTGAATGTGAAAACTATAACATTTTAGAAAGAGCAAATACAACAATAGTCAATAGACAATAGACATGATATACATAGTTAATGGGGGAAAATTGTACCACTTTTTATATTTTTAAAAAAAAAAAATCAAAAAATTATGCACACACCTCCGGTGGGACTCGAACCCACAATCCCCGGTTTAGGAAACCGATGCCTTATCCATTAGGCCACGGAGGCTTACATGCTCACATGGAGATTTCTTGTACTATATTATCATCTATTCTAGCGCTACATTTGATTGGCTCAAAAGAAACCTATACGTCATTGCGCCCTAAGAGGGCGCTATACGAATTCCTTAAAACTTCGATCACATTATTTTCCCTCTTTCAATCGTTCATATTTACAATGATGGTACATTTTAACATATTCACATATTTATATACATATACCGATAGATCAATTTGCACAATATAATACATTAAAACAGTAAACATGAAATTGAAAGGGAAAGAGGGCCGACTAAAAAGCAGAGCTTGTAGGGTTAAGCCCCCCTGTAAAAGTAATTATCATGAATTATTATTATTATTATGGATGAATGTTTGTATATATTTATATCTACTACTGGGAAAATTGAATGAATGCAGGAATGAATGGCTAAATACACGATAAAAAATGTACTGCAAAGTAAATAGTTTAAAGAATAGATCGGATATTTGATAAGTTGAATTTCGGAGCCTGTCACTATCTCTCTCTCTCTCTCTCTCTCTCTCTCTCTCTTTCTCTCTCTATCTCCCCTTATAAACTATATTTGGGCCATGTGCCCCCTCAGCCCCCACTTCCTGCGACTATTTTATTGAGGCCAACTTAGCTGGCTGGCTAATACTTAAATTCTCAAAAAATTCTCATGTGGAGATGGAGAAGGTTAAAATCTATATCCATTATTATAGCCCCAGCAACCAGACCAATCCAACATAGTCTACACTCATGTTCAGTATCTTATCTAATTTGTTTGCATTGTTTAAAAAAAAAGTTAATCCTGAAAAAGTTACCCACCCATCCCCTCCGCCAATTTTTTAGAATATTTGGGATGATACCAATATTTATTTTATTTTCAGGGAAATTGTCTATTTTTGTCTCAATTTTTTTTTCTTTTTTTTTCTTACCAACACCGTATGATCAATCCCCCGCATCCCGTCGCATTCACAGAACTGTTCTGTCAGACGCCTAGAATTAAGGTAATTTTCATGTAGTTTAAGAATTCAGAGATAAAATTGAAAGAAAAAATAATATTAAGGAGATTTTCAGGTACAGATCTGTGGCAATTTTTTGTCTTTTGTAGGAGTTGTATGTTTCTAAACTAAACCGTCTTATACTGCTTCTGTACAGTGTTGTGCGATGAAGAAATTGTTTAGTCCCACTCATTAACATTTCGGTAGGAAGTAATTGGGCGACATTAACAGTTTTGCGTAAAATAGGACCAGAAAACAAAGAAGAGAAAATAAAATGAGTGACTTTATGGGTGATTCATACATTTTTTTATTACAAATTTTGTTTTTACTAGGTAAATAGACCTAGTCGCAAGGCCATTGCAAAACGTTTTCTTTGTCTTGACTTTGAGTAGGGAGGCCAATGCCCAAATCTAACTTTTTAATTACTAATTTGTTTATACTAAAACTAAGATTAAAAGAAAGCATTTACTTTCACTAAGAAAATCCACCCATCTGCTGACTCCAGAAGTTCCATCAAATAGGAGATATCCAGCTCTTTTCATCCAGCTTCCTTCTACGCCTTTCCGTACGTAAGAGCCTTGAAACAATTATATTTCATGTCGCAAAGTTACGTTCATAATTAGACAGGCCCGAGGGACAAAGTTCATGATGAAGTTTAAAACTTCGCGCGAAAGTGCAATCACTCAACAGCGGCTAGCCTTGAATCGGTCGCACACGTACACACCTTCTTCTTCTTAGTTGATCCCTCCACCGACACAGGCAAGCCTAGCCTTATAGGGCTCTCTCGAAATGTTTTTTTAATGATATTATTCGAGAGAGCCTTAAACGGCTCCCATACCCCTGCACGGAGAGGCATGTAAACAAAACTCAAAAGTGGTCCAAAATCACACTTTCGCGCACCCGACCAATATTGGACAGTGGCTTTGATAAATTTTGTCCGAGTTTTGGTCTTAATTAGCGCTTTAATTTCAAAATCGGATCTAAAAATAACAAAATAAGAGCAATTTTCTTACCAGACCGATACAGCTCAGCTCCCTTTTCACGTGTACCGTGTGAATTCACGATGTCTACACAGTGGTGATGACCTCTGACTGGCACTTCCGTAATTGTGGGTAAATTGTGCTGCTTCCGTATAATGCGCTGTATGAGTGTTATTCAGCGCATTATACGGAAGCAGCACATTTACGAAGTGCTAGTCAGAGGTCATCACCATTGTGTAGACATCGTGAATTCACACGGTACACGTGAAAAGGGAGCTGAGCTGTATCGGTCTGGTAAGAAAATTGCTCTTATTTTGTTATTTTTAGATCCGATTTTGAAATTAAAGCGCTAATTAAGACCAAAACTCGGACAAAATTTATCAAAGCCACTGTCCAATATTGGTCGGGTGCGCGAAAGTGTGATTTTGGACCACTTTTGAGTTTTGTTTACATGCCTCTCCGTGCAGGGGTATGGGAGCCGTTTAAGGCTCTCTCGAATAATATCATTAAAAAAACATTTCGAGAGAGCCCTTAAGGCTAGGCAAGCCCCGATGCAGGCTGAAGTCCAGCCATCAATGTGCGAACGACTACATCTTCTACTACTACGAGCCGAAGACGATGGTTCAAAAATGAAGAATAGAAATATATATAATTCATTGATATTTACCTTAGATGTGTATTCCAATAATTTGATTTCCTCATGAGTATTCCTTATTATCAACGATCGAGAAGTTACGAGGTCCAATTAACATCCATCTTGCAGCGAACACAATCATAGCGCACATCCATGCATGCAACGTACGTGTACTAATATTTCTCTCACTCTCTCTCTCTCTCTCTCCCTTTCGCTATACGTAACATACACACTCACTAACCATGTATCATACAACACACACCTTCAAATCATGGCTTTCATTTCAATTCTCAATTGGAGTATAGACTGCTCACGTAGACTTTTTTTTTTACTGAAATATCTTTTTTAACACTTCTCATACATTACTGCACGACACTCGTATCTAGTGCTGTGAGAATAAGGTACTAGGGTCTATAAATAAGACTACGCTTTGCGCACGATCTGACCGGAGCTCAGATTATGTCGCAATACCCTTTATTTTTGGCGCGAACAATGACGTCATTGTTCACTGTTTTCCTTCTCATTTTGAGATGGATGTAGCTATAGGGCTCAAACCAACGCACGATTGACAGAAACATCGTACTCTATCTACTTTCGAATGTTCAGTTTGTAAAAATCTGTATTTAAAAAGATATAATCTTTTTTCTTTATATTTTCTAGTTGTTAGAAGTGGCAATTGTGAACATCTGAAATGTTGATCTCTATCAAAAGTTCTTTACTCAAAACGGATCCCATATTTTTAGGGTCTACCTTCTGCCAATGAGAAGGTTTTTAGTGAGCAAACCTCTACGCCCTCTATGATTTTCTTAGTCGGTAGTGCGAGTGCGTCAAGGTCGTCTGCAACCACAATTATTGGATTAAAAAACGTCAAAATCTGCAAGATTGTCAACAAATGGTGAAAGACTGTTACAGATCCGTGATTATAGGTATGTTGTGAAATGTATAATTGTATTTTCTTTTCTTATTTTCTTCAATTTTTATTTTTACATCATTTTTTTCCCTTTGCTAATTTTTTGAAGTGGGCGACGAGCGCACAAATCGTAGGTGTAGAAGCCTTACGCCCGGGCATTGGCCTCCCTACTTTGAGTTTGAAATTTGAATTTAATTTTGTAGAGTAAAGGAGCCGGTAATCGGCCAGCTCCAGTTTTCGGCCGATTGGTTGGATACAAGGTAAAATCACTCTAAAATACATCGCATAATAGCATAACACATATCCCACACATACCATACCATGCCAGTGTCACTGAAGAACCACATTTGCAATGGAAAATATATCCTAAAATATCACATTTTAGCGATGTAATTGCCGGTCCCGCTACCCAAATCTGAAAAATCGAGTATCTTACGCGTGTCTGTAAGAAATATGGGTACCATAAAATGAGCTTTATTTCAAGTATTTTTCAGATTTAGAGCCCGATTTTGTGCTAGTCGCAAGCTCAAAAGTATCTCATCGCATGTATTAAATCAATGCAGCCGCACACCGCGACGCACACACGATATCTCTGTCTAATTCAGATTCCAACTTCCGATCACCGCTGTGCCTGTCTTCGGCCAGGTGAGCACCAGGGAGCTCCGGCGTGGGATACCTGCTCCGCCCGCTTGTGCTGTACATCAGCGCGGAAACGCGCGGAAACGCACGGCGCGCGCGAGCGCTTCCTATTGACTTTGTACATGCGGCCGTAAACTGAAACGCTCGGCCGATAACTGGCTCCAAAACAGTGAAAATTGAAATGAATATTGTCATGGCAATTCGTGATTTTTTTCTGGGATTCTTTTTTTGTTTAAATAATAATAATATTTGCTTCATGATTTGAACAAGAAATGATAATAAATAGGAAGTAAAGAGTCCTAAAAATAGGATTTTGTCTTAAGTGGCCGAAAACGGGCTCCTTTACTCTAATTTGCTTTGCCTTTGAACTGTGAAGAATTTCTCTTGAATAATATCATGATGAGAATTGTCAGAAATTACAGACATGTGAACCTTTGTTTTTGCAATTTCAATAAGACATGGTTACCTTTACTTGTGAAAATGACATTGTTCTTGCTTGAATTCAGACAAAAGTTTTGTCACACTCTTTAGAATAAGTAATAATATCAAAGACTGTCAAACTCAAAGTAAACGTGAGACTTAGCCTGGATTTGGAATAGACTTCTATTATTAGTATCAAACTTTAAATTTTAGGTGCGCAGACAGAGGGCTTCCCATCTTAAAACTGCATAATTTATAAAAATCCATTTGCTAACAAAATTTGCTTTAAATGTTCCTCTGCATACTTTTACTTAGTCTTAAGTCTACAGAATTTTTTATTTCATTGATCTTTTTAAAGATTTCCATGCATTCAACGATTTATGCCAAATATTCATGCAACACTTTTTTTTCATTCCACTCGTAATTAACTTACATCACTCATTTGTATGTATTTGTGTTGCTCTCTCACCAGTCTGCAACTTGACAAGATGGATTCCGAGGATGAAGATGGTGCCCCTGAATTCTCTCTGACTGGATTCATGTTTGGTAACATCAATAAGAGTGGACAGCTAGAAAATGATCTCTTAGATGAGGTATGATGAACACAAAATGTAACACATCTAAAAGCCACAATCTTTGTGCTACGATTGAAGACAAATTTGTCAATGAGTAATGTGTTCAAATCAAAATGTACTAGTATGCCCTTTAAGGATGCTTTCTAAACCCCATAATTGTTTAACCTAAACAAAAGGTAGGGTTCAAGAGCCCTAAGCTCTTCCAAATCAATCTTGCATGTATACTGCAATTTTGTACCCTCATAATCTGTATTTTTTTTCCAGATACATGACCTTTTGTAGGAGCACTGGGGCAGTGTAGCATTAACAGAAAAAGAGTCCATGTTGCCAATTTTTAAGAAGATGTGCTGTTGCCTTCCGTCTTTAAAAATTGTGTTTTTGATCATATCTCTTATGTATTCCTTTACAGGAGGCTAAGTGTCACTTATCAGGTCTGGGAACTCTGAGTGGTCTGGAATCCTTGCTTTGGGAGTTAACTGGAGAAAAAAGGAAGGACGATGATGAGGATAAACTTTACGATGACGATGAATCAGGTTCTGATCAAGATTCTAGCAGTAAGGAATAACTGACAGGACAGGAAGATGAGACCGTTCAATACTGTGGTCTGGGTTACCAAACCTTGGACTTGTATTTGTTTGTTTTTCAAGTTTGGGACAAAAGATGAATTACCATATACTTACAACACCAATAGGGGAAAATGCATAATTATGGATTCTTGCTCTTTTTATGATTATGCCTTGAAATTAATACTTGGTGTGAATCAGGCCAACAAATTTGAAAATAATTTAAAGGGCATTGAAATACAGCTGCCTAACGTTCTGTCCTCAGTTCATCATAGGAAAATCATATGGTCTAGATTTATATAGAATTGTAGACCTATGTTAGTTAATGCATATTCTTACAGATATCTGACCATCAGAGAATTTTATGGTTTATCCAGTACTTATTTAATGAGTGATTTGTGAAAAGGTAGGCTCCGTTTTAATTCAGTGTTTCTTTTTCATGCATTGTAGATGAGACAGAGAAAGGAGTTGAAGCGGTGGACTACTCTGACATCACAGAGATGGCAGAAGAGGAACAGGTCTACAAAGATACAATGGCTTCTATGTCAACACAAAACAAGGGTAACATCACCACCACGTATTAGAACTAGATGTGTAAAGAATCTAAAGATGTTGGTAATGCACATTGGTGTTTGTGCTATATTTACGCATTCTGTCAAAATAGATGATATATGCCTGTAAGAGGACTTAGACTAAAGTAAGTTTGCTTGTGGAACAAGGTCATCATGAGTATTCTGAAATTTATCTAGAGACCAATTTTTAGTAGAGGAGGGACTCTAAATTGATACCTCTCTGTAGTTTTTATTTTCAAGAAAATATCTACGTGATTTATAAGGAGGATAATGATATAGCACCTTTTCATAGGATGCAATACATTGATGATGATGGTGAATTGGTGATGATAAGGATACACTGATGGTGTTGATAATGGTGTTGATAATGATGATGACGACATTACTATTTTTTTCTCCCCAGAAATAGTGGATTATTTCAAATGGAGATAAAATGTTTTGATACAATGCCTATTCATTCGGTTGCCCAGTTGTGATCCTGCTTGCTATTGTTCAATTCGTAAAGCAGATAAGGATGACGATGATGATGATGATGATTATGATGCTGATGATTCCGATGATGAAAGCAAGAGTAAAGATGACTCTATCCTGATGCCTCCTCCTCCACCACCACCTGTAACCAGACTGATGCATACCCCATCTTCAGGGTCATCTCAAGACATGGACAACAGCAGCGGTAAGAAAAAAGAGGCAGGGACTGGTGAAGGTAGATCCTCTGGATCCCCAGAGTACTGAATAATAACATGTCCATTTATATAGCGCAGCTACTATGTGAATATACTGCAATTAATACAAAGTATCACATTATTACCCCAGCTGTAGCTGAGCCACCATGATAAACTGCTCAAGCAGTCATTTTCCTTAACGGGTACCCATTTACTTCACCTGGGTAAAGAGTGGTAAATGTAGATTAATGTGAATTATTATTTTGAATGATATATAATGTTTAAGTGTTGTTTTTGCAGATGTATTTAACATTAATTGCAACACTTAAGTATATAAGCAACCCTCTCGGTTAAGGTTTCATATTATATTTTATTACAGTATTGTTTGGAGCAGCCAAATTGTTTGTAATACAATGCTTTTTTTTTAAATTCTTTATTAAGTATCTTTATGACAATTTAAAGTCATCTATATTGGATAAGCATTTGAATGTACTAAGTCCTTTAATTCAGATTACAAGAGCAGTGTTAAGCAAGATTGCAACAATGATTTCAATCTCTTTGTCAGTTTTATCAACCTTTTGTTTTATGTTGATTTTGACAAATGAAATGATAGCAAGAATTATTGATTTTTAAAAGCAATAACATCTACAAGTGATTGTCATGGATATGAGCCTGCTTATCATAGTACCTGTAGAGATGTGGAACATGTGTGAGAATGAGTACATTCATGGCAGATGGGTCAGAGCTATGCCTTGAATTGTATCGTTCTTCCAATCATGTATCATTGCATATGCTGAATATCTTAAAGGCCTCCTTTAACAATGTTAAACCTGAGATGCATGGTCCTTTTTCAGTGTCTGTGATATGTTGTAATATTGAAACCCTAAAAAAATTGCGCTTCAAAATATCACGAAGTGCCTCAAAAAGTAAAAATCTTTGAGTGACCGTTTCTACCTACTCGTTTTTCCCAATAGACTGTAGTGTTATAAAAATTGTTAGGAAAACGCAAAATTTGATTTCAATTTCCAATCATAAATCATAATCCTAAAGGTTTATAATTATGATTGCTGCATGGGCTACATCCAGGATTTTGTTTCAGAATCTGAGGCAGTGTTACCGAGTCACTTAAATGCCTTTTTCATTTTTTTTTATGAAACTGAAGAAAACGAAAGCAAGGATGTGTCAGGCGAGGAGAGTTTAAAGGAAGGAGAGAAAAAGACAGGTGAAAGAGAGATTGGTGGAGATGAAGGGACAAAGAAAGAAGAAGGAAAGGTACTAGCACCTCTCAAGAATATCTATGCTTCAGTGGATGAGAAGTTCAAAGGCAAGACTGTGACTGATCTCTTCCCAGAATTCAGACCTGGTCAGGTATGTAATCATGATATTCTATTCTATGACTTCATATATATATACCCATATATACCCATGCATTTTATATAGATTTCAATCAAAAAAATAGGAAATGACCAGGTAGCTAGATAATGTGTTGTTGATCGACTGGTCAGGGGTGTTGTTTGAATGCATAAAGAGTGTAGATTTTAGAGAAATTATGTCTGAAGAGCACTCTTGCGATGCTATGGCTTTTGAGACAAATAGTCTCAATAGTACATGCATGGAATTAGATACTTTCCAATTCATAGGCAAAATGGAGGTTGAATGTTGGAATTAGCTGAGATTTTGAGGAATGCTTATTGCAGTGCCATATTGAAAAATGCTTCTAAAACTATACAAGGACTCAAGAAAAGTTAAGGTTATCTGTTTGGTCAGACATAAGATCAATATTTTTTATTCACCTTTGTCTTTTTAGAAAAGAGATGCTATTAGTAAGAATATGTCATCAGTATCCTGTTTGTAGTTATTTCCTTCCATCTTTTCTTCTTTATTACTTTTTGTTATCATTAGTCTTACATTGACTCAAAATTATATGGTGCAAACAGTGAATTTTCATGACTAAGCAAAATCTAAGGCTTTTTAAATGATTCCCTACAATGCTGGGACTCCACCGTTTTTTGATGTTTTCACAGGTCCTGAGATTCTTCCGGCTATTTGGGCTTCCTCAGCAAAACCTCCTCCCTCAGCTGTGGAGGGGTATGAAAAAGAAAAAGAAGAAGAGACATCCCTCTGGGGGTGATGCGATCCCTAAGGACTCTCCTCCACCCAGTCCACCCCGGAGGACTATCGATGGATGGAATTACCGGTATGCTCCGTCACCTCCTCCCGAGGACTGCATGCCAGATGATGCGGTATGTAAAGCAACCTGGGGGTGTTTCACAAAGATTCGAAGTTGAACTTATCTTTAAGTTTGACTTCAAAATTATGGAAAGCTGTTAGCCTCTTTGAAGATATTTTGTAAAAGTTATTTTAAAAGGCATAAAATGTTGAATAAAATCATTCATATTTTCTATCATAGAGGAGATTAAATGTTCTTGATGCGGAATTTATGAAATGTCTAAGATACTTGAATTTTTGCTTTGGAATATATTTTACTTTAAGACTACAAATGGCTCTCAATAATGTTTAAATCCAACTTAGAGTTAAGTTCAACTTAGGATCTTTGTGAAACAGCCCCCAGGTTAGAATGAATTTGAGGTAGATGCTGAACAGTTATCGAGGAGCTTCTGGTGAAACAAGTCTGGGACTAAGGACTTAAATTCTTTCTATGGGAATTTGTTGATTTCAGAGGCTGAATATGAATTTACAATCTAACCATTACACCAGGGCCTTGTCTTATAAAGAGTTGCAATTGATCCCAATCAATCGCAAGTCTTCAAATCAATCGCAAGTTTGCAGTCTCCAATCTCTTATGTGTATAGCTGCGATTGATATCAATCACAAATAAGTTGTGATTAATATAAACTCTTTATAAGACGGGCCCAGGACATCTCTATCATTGTTATGACATAATAGTAATTGTCTTCTGGCAAATTTAATGTTCTCTTATATCAACTACCTGTTTTCCAAACCATTAGTGCATAAGATAATGATAAATTAGAAATTATATAGTACAAGAATTTGGATAAATAATGTAAATTCAATACTATTTATTATTCAGTTACAGACTTACAACATCATATTCACAGTATATACCAATGTATGAACAATTGTATGTTTTAAGTGCAAATATATAGATCGTACAAAGTCATATATAAATGTATTCATCACATTGTTATATAATCCACAGGAGTTAATTATGGCTGTAATGGAGGCAGATAATCGTAATTCCAATGCTGACAAAGATAAGAATAAGGATGCTCTTCCAGAGATAGCAGAGTGGCGGTATGGACCGGCTCAGTACTGGTATGACATGCTGGAGGTACCTGATAATGGAGAGGGATTCGACTATGGATTCAAACTCAAATCTGTAAGTTAGAAATTTAGTTACTTGGCCAAGATTCATCAATTATGCATGTTTTATGGTGTGCTTGTCATTATTTTGCCTCTATCATAGTTGTATTCACAGTTCTGTTCAAATTTGTTATCCTAGTTATTGTAGTCCTTTGAAACTTTTGCCTTAAAAATACAATAGCTAAAATTATCTACTTAAAAACTCTCCATGAAATAACTGCATCCCTTTTGAGACTAAGTAAAACCAAATTCGCACATGAACTCAAGCTCAAATCCTACTTTGATAAAGTCTTGTTCTTACAAAAAAAATTAGCTCTAATTTTGATATAAATTCATACTCTAGTCAACTTTATCTCATTACTATGCTCGAACATATGATTTAATTCTGATTCTTACTCAAAAGTGATACCATGTTTCACTCTCCTGTGCAATATCAACTCAAAAACTTGTTCTAACACTAAATTTAGCTCTCATTATGTCTCAAATTCATTAATTTTCAAACTTTTAATTTCAAATCAAACTTGAACCTATCATTCTACCCAGACATCAGAGAACAAGACAAAAGAAGAGAGCAGGGAGATGAAGAGAGAGTCTGATGAAACCCAATCAGGGCCCTCTGTATCAGCGGAGGAGCTCCTAGCACACCTCCCTCCAATCCCCCAAGCCACTGATGAGTGTTTTGACATGGTGACCCAGCTGGCCTGGGAGAATGATGTCATATGGGATGCTGAGGATGCTAAAGAGAAGGTCCTTAGTTCAACTGCAGCTAGCAACGCTGGATGGGTACCCACATTGTCCAATAGGACTGCTCTAGCTTACTACACTCAACAAGGTACAATTTTGCTTCCACTGCTTTATCAGTTGACTCAACATTTGAGCTAGACTTATTTCGTCAAAGATATAAGGTCAGGTCTTGTTTGCTATTGGGTTTCAGGTTAGAGTTAGGTATAGTGTTGGGTTCAAGATTGTAGTTAGTTCAGTTATTTAAGTGTTACAAATTGATTAAAGAGCAATTTTTCTCCAGAGCATTCATCATCCTCATCAGCATGTGTCGCACAATTGTTGTGTCTCATTCCATGCAGTCATTAGGTACTCAATTTAAAAATAAAAAAATCTTGATCCTTCTTCCATGGACAATTATAATGAAAGCTGCAGTATGTTTCATTTATTTAAATTAAAGCAATTAACATCAATCAGACTTCTTGATAATATAAATCCACAGTGCTTGATTTACTAGGTATGGGGGACATGGTTATTTGATGAATCTCAAAGGAATTTCTTATGACACAGAAGATGATATGTCAATAATCTGCATATTGTTAGGTTAGGGCAGTTCCAAAAGTATATCGTCGGTGGGGTGACAAAACCTCGTATCTCAATTTTTTGAGATTTTGATTTTGTTTGCATAATTGTGTACCTAATGGCCTATGACACCACCTGATAAATCCATGGAACGCCTCCTGTCTCCGTTTTTTCACAAATTCCACACAAAGGATGGTGTCACTAAGTCTGTTGAGACAGGAAATGTTTTTACGCTCTCCTGAAAATTCATGATTTTGGAGATACAAGGTTTTGTCACCCCACCGACGATATTAAATCATCTACTCCCATATCTACCAACATAAATTAGGATAAATCAATAAAAATCAACACAGAACCAGGCTATTTATTACCTTAAATTATTCACTCCAAATTAGAAGGTAATGTATTTGTATATTTATAAAAAATATGTAGTATTATTTTGAAGAAAGTCAGACAATTTCCATGTTCTCTTTCTTTTGGTTGATCCTTTATAGGTCAGAAGATCGTAGACTACCTTGGTCCTACCTATAATGAGAGAACAGCAGTGAAGGTGGTCGGTCCTATACTCAGTGATCTCACAAACAGTAAGCTGGCAAAGACAACAGCAAACAAGCAGACTCAGAACTCAGGTAAACATCTTGTTAAGATTATTTTACACAGTTGTCTCTTTATATGTATCTATAGGGAAATGTGAGTTGGTCTAGCAGTAATGTCTGTGGTACGATCAGCTCTCTGTCTTTGCCTACAAACTGACTCTGCTCGGACCAAGGTTTGAAACGTAGTCCAAGTCTTTCGGATAGTGATGATAAAGGTCTGTCCCAGACGTAAATAATCGTCTCTGATTGATACCTGTCTGTAAACGCCAAATTATTCCTGTCAAGATCCCTGAGGATGATAGATTCACAATATTTAGATTGAGTCTTTTTGAGAAAAGAACATATTTAGAAGATCTACATGTATTGACTATAATACCTGCCATTGGTAAAAACATCTTTACAATTCGTTGTTTGAGATACACTTCTGCATTCCTTCTTGTAGTTCATTTCAATGTTAATGATTATCTTTTCTATAATGCCTTCAAAGTAAGAATGCACAATTTTTCTGTGTACACAAGGTTTGTTGATACAGTCAAACCTGCTTTAGAGACCACCTGTATAGAAAGACCACCTGTCTACAAAGACCACATTTTTAATGTTTCCCTTGAAAATGGTTTCTCATTGAATCATGTACTAAAAGAATCTGTACATAAAGACCACCTGCCTATAAAGACCACTTTTCTTGTCTCCCTTGGGTGGTCTTTATAGACAGGTTTCACTGTACTTGCATTATTTCCCAACAGCTCAAGAGAAGTCTGAGTGCCTGTGGTACTCCATCTTCCCAGCTGATAACGAGGAGCTAGTCTACCATCGCTGGGAAGATGACATCATCTGGGACCATGAGGCCATGGACAAGATACCTGCCCCGCCCCTCCTCCGACTGGACCCCAACGATGATAATATCATCCTTCGGATACCGGAGGATATCGACCCTGATAAGATGGCCGCCAGCGGGAAGGAGAAGAAGGAGCCTCGCAGGTCTAAGATTGTGATGGAGAAGAGCGGAATGACGAGAACAGATGATCAGGACGAGGTCAGTATAATTCGACTTGTTTATAAATACTGCCCAGGGGGAGCTAAGGAAAGCAGTCTTTATTGGCAGATGGTCTTAAGGAAAATTTACATATGTAAAAGCTTCTATGAGAAACAGCAGTCAGGGCAAAAAATGACATTCTTTTCTGTTTACGTAAACTATTCATACAGCATGTTTAAATTAATTGTTTGCACATGCTAGAGGTTTATTAATGTACATATGTTTTCACATCGGTGTAACTATTCGGGATACTTTTCATAAATTGTTTTTCTTGAAAAATCCTTAAATATTTATGTCAATAAACACTAATTTTGTTTATTTGTATTGAAGATACTAATAACTGAGTTGAGTTCCAGATTTTAAAGAGGGGAAGAGAGAATTTCAATGCCTGGCTTTCTAAGAACACAAATCATGTCTTTCATTGTGTTCTTGTATGTTTGTTGTAACAGGATTTCAATGACCAGCAGGATATCAAGAATCCCTTTAACATCTCTAATGATGAGAACTACTACCCTAAGCACATGGGTGAAGGCAAACTCAGACCCAACATGTCTTCTGATATACAGGTAAGAGTAGTCTACTCTATGTATTAACTACAGCACACTGGTGAAGAAGGGTGAATGCATGGAACACAAAGCATCTACTAGTTGATGTGAAGAGGCTGATGTTGGACATAATGCCTTTCGAAAGGTTACTCACTAAGGCTTGGATCCACAACCTTCACATTTCCGATCACTTTTTGAAACCACTCAATTTTCGTACACCTATGCAAGGGAGAGGGAAGAGAATGAAATCTTTTAATATCATGTTGTGTTCTTATGATATTCTTATGAGCCTCTGAGTGTTTGCCACTGCTATAGGGAAACTACATGGTTTGTCCTTCATAACTGTTTTCAAGTGTGGTGGTGGAAACTTTCTCAGGTCTGATATACAGGTGATAAATAATGCATGTTATGATCAGAATCTGTATAGAATTGCTTTTATGATGTATGGACTGTATCAAGAGAAATAGACTGAAGTACATTAATTATTATTATAATGAAAATATTTTATTCAATCATTTGAAACATTTATATTGTTCAATCTTAATATGTAAACTATTCTGAGGCACTGTGTTATTTTATTCCCTGATAAGGCACTCAAACATTCAAGAAGTTTTCTGCTCATGGGTCATCAGTGCAAAAAGTAGGTCATGTATTGCGTAAGGAAATGACTATGTCTTTCGATTCAGTGTATCCCCATAGCGTCCAAATTGAATATCTATCCATCATTTTCTTCCTTTGGCAATGATTTCCGAGAGAAATACTCAAGATATGTACTATAATCTAATCATCTGTCTTATGATCCTGTACCAGCACTCAACTGCTGCGGTGGAGCTCCGTCAGCCATACTTCCCGACCCACATGGGTCCCATCAAGCTCCGTCGCTGGCATCGTCCAATCATCAAGAAGTATAACTTTGGTGCCATCTCTGCTCCCGGACCACATGGAGTCTTCCCTCTCGTTAGGAGGATCAAGCAGAAAGCAAGGGTAAGATTGACTTTGTCTTGTAGGAAAGTTGTGTTTGATTGAAATGATGTATGCTATGGGGCCACAGCACACTCTTATCCTCAATCTAAGGCATTTTGAGGTCATTTATCAGAAATAAGTTGGTAAGTTGATGAAATCACTTGAAATTTATTATCATTATTTGCTTACCTTCATAATGAAATATTGATGAAGCATTTATTTCATGATTGATGAAGTACACACAATGTCAAAACTGGGATGTGTTTTCTTCTGTTGAACAGAACTGATCTTACAAAGAATGAAATTTGTATGAATCATACACAATATGTAAGACATTATAGGTTTCTTTGTACAGAAGCAAACATTTAGGATGAGTTTCAAGATATTGTATTACAGATATTTGAGTGTTGAGAGATTGCTCAATACATTTAATTAATCATGCTTTACTGGCATTGAAAAATATTGAACCATGATAGCTTCATCATATGCATGTTGCTGTAGTTGAAACAAGTATTACACAGAAATATTTTTAAAAACAATGACATTTCAAAGATAAAATATGATTCACATTTTGCATCAATGTAAAATGACAAGATATTCAAGCTAAAGTTTTTGCAATATCTTTAAAATTTTTGTTGATAACTATTTTGCTTGTTTGACCCAACAGCAAAGAGAGCAAGAGAGGCAAGCCTCAGGGGGAGGTGAGATGTTCTTCATGAGGACGGTAGAAGATCTCTCTGGTATGGATGGTCATCTCATCATGACAGAATACTGTGAAGAATACCCACCACAGATGATGCAGGTCGGCATGGCAACACGCATCACTAACTACTACAAGAGGGTAAGTCAATAATGATGTCTTATCTGTTACTCTGATATCTGAGATGTGCCTCCAGATAGAAGTACACTCATGTAATATGATTTCATCTTGGAGGGGAGCTAAAGTCTGCTCAGAAAGTTGCTTTGAAGAAAAAAATGTGATTAGAGACGTGGGTCAGGAGTAACTCCGTAGTTGTCCAACTATTGTTTTTTTCTTACATTTACTGGTGTCAAAGTTCTGGCAAAGCTTTGATATTTCCTTTCTGTCAAGTCTTCTATCAGGTTAAATTTGGAGCCATGTCTCCACTATCAAGTAATCACAGTATTTTAATCATCTTTTTTTACTGTGTTGAAGTAAGAAATATTCATGTAAAGTTAGTCAATTGATTTTCTCTGTGATAATGATTTGCTCACAGAAACCAAGTTCAGATGCCAAGCCACCATTGCATGAATACGGTGAGACAATCAACGTCCATAGCTCACCGTTTCTGGGTTCATTGAGACCAGGTCAGTCTCTCCAAGCCTTTGAGAACAACCTCTTCAGAGCTCCACTGTACAAACACAAGGTCCCTACCACAGACTTCCTTCTCATCAGAACAAGACACAAGTAAGTTGCTTCCTTGGTATATGGGTGGTAGTGTTATGGGTCACAGTGGTATAGTTGCACTGAAGGTCTTGATGCTTCTTTAGAACCGTGAACTACCAATAAATGGTTCTTGTGTTAGACCACTTCATTATAATTGAGTCCAAAGAGCTACCCCCATGTACCTATGGTTGGATTGGTAGTATTTATGAGTTATGATGTTTGAGATTCCTGTTCTATCTAAACCGCAATTAATATTTAGCTATATTCTGCATAATTCTTTTCCAATAAATTTTGATTAGTTAAGGAGTATGGTATAAAGCATAACACATTCAGTTTCCCCTTTTTATTTTGATTGTAGTGACAATCTAATACCAAGAAATGAGATCTCCATAGTGAAACAAATATCTTTGAAGTTCCATTTTAAAACATTGTTCACTTAAATCATGATTGTAATTTGGTTGTTTTTAAACCTAGGTATCATATCCGTGCGTTGAATGATATCTTCACGGTGGGACAGCAGTACCCTCTCCTAGAAGTTCCAGGTCCCAACTCAAAGAAGTCTAATAACCATATCAGGGATTTCCTTCAGGTAAGATCATGATGACTGGAAGAGTGATGGTCAAGATGATGTATGTTAAAGTGTGTTTGGGCAGTACTGTAATGACAAGTAATACATTGAATAATCTTTGTATATGTATTTGTAGTGGATTTGTTTATTGAACATGATATTTGTAACTATGGTGTTATGAGGTGTACATTTTTAGCTCCAATCTACAAGATAGATTTGTGGTAATGTTGGTGATGATGATGATGATGATGATGATGATGATGATGATGGTGATGATGATGATGATGATGATGATGATGATTATGATGATGATGATGATGATGATGATGATGATGACAATGACAATGATGATTGTGATGATGATGATGATGATGATGATGATGATGATGATGATGACGATGATGACGACGATGATGATGATGATGATGATGATGATGATGATGATGATGATGATGATGATGAAGAAGAAGATGATTGTGATGACGATGATGATGATGTTGGTGATTCTGACATTGGTAGCAGTGGTAATAGTGGTGGTGATGAAAGAGAAGAGGAGAAACAATGATTTCCAGTTGTGCTCACATGAGTTTCTTTTCTATTCATTGCTCAGGTCTTCATCTACCGTCTGTTCTTGAAGAGCATCGATCGTCCACGAAGGATAAAGATGGAAGACATTAAGAAAGCTTTCCCAACTCACTCTGAAAGCAGTATTAGGAAAAGACTCAAACTTTGTGCTGATTTCAAGAGAACCGGTAACATTATCTCTCGTTATCTCTCATTATTACGATAGTGATGCGGATCTTTATGATTTAGTCACTAGCTAGATAATGCAGTAATTTTTGTCAATATTAGTGCTAGATTAATGGCTTGTCTGAAGTGATATCCTATGTTGAGAAATACTCAAAAGTAATACAAAATTATGAAATACATAGCTCAAATTTCACACTAGCTGTCTTGCCAAACCACTTTGGAAGTCTAATTCAATTAATTGGTTTTGTACTTTGTAGTAGATACGTTAACTGTTCAATAATAACAACTTTTACTCTTTTTCCAATGGTAACCTCAGGTTTGGATTCCAACTGGTGGGTGATGAAGCCAGATTTCCGTCTCCCTTCAGAAGAAGAGATCCGTGCCATGGTATCACCTGAGCTGTGCTGTGCATACTACAGCATGCAGGGTGCTGAGCAGAGACTCAAGGATGCAGGGTACGGAGAGAAGTCCTTCTTTGCTCCAGACAATGATGATGACGATGACAACGCCAAAATTGATGATGAGGTAAAACTTATATTATTTTTATTTATGTATGAGTCTTAGACTCCAGATAGATAATGGGTAAGTCATGTGATTATATGGAAGCACTGTGGTGTATTGGTGAATGTTCATGACTCTCATAAAAGAGGTCCTGGGGTACATTCCTCAACAAGGCGTTTTACCCACGTATGTCCCTCTCGACCGAAATGTATTAAAGGAGTACCTGACAAGGCAGTGTTAATAATAATAGGGGGGATTCATAACTTATAGCATCCCCACTGTCAAGATGCCCCACAAAAACTTCTGATTAAATCCCCTTATCTCCTAGTGTATATAAAAGAGCCACAGCTCATTGTATTGTCAACTTTTCCCATAATACATCACATGAAATTGACAAAACACTAATGTTGCTAGATGGTATTGTGGATTGTGAATCCACCATATTACAGGGCTCACAGAAAGAGCAGTATTGCTACCGTGGGTAAATTACATAAACATTGTACCTTGTGTTAGTACTTACATTAGCTGGGTCGGTAGAGCAGTGGTCTCGTAATCTGGTGACCCGGGTTCGAAACCAAGTCGATGCGCTAGTGCCCTTTGGTAAGGCATTAATCCTCGTTGCCAGGTCCCTTGGAGAGGACCTTAAGCCGTCATTCTTCTGGTTGCTTACTTATTTATTTATTTCTTAGCTGTAAGGTAAAATAACCACCACTATCTATCATTTTTCTGTGTATTCCTCTGCTGACATGGTGCCTAAGTTGGTATTTAAAGAATATTGTAAGTTTGTCTTTCAATACATCCACCACATCCTAAAGGAAAATCATATGTATTAAGTTGTTCATTCATAATTTCCTAAAAGCAACCGAGAATGAAATGTCTTCATACATCTTTTTAATGCCTCCATTTTTGTTCTCCTTAGGTGAAAACAGCTCCCTGGAATACCACTCGTGCATTCATTGCTGCTATGAAAGGCAAGTGCCTCCTGGCCGTGACGGGTGTGGCTGATCCAACAGGGTGCGGAGAGGGCTTCTCCTACATCAAGGTTCCTAACAAACCTATGCAACAGAAGGTATGATATCATCACCCTCAAAGACCACACCTAGATCTTCCGCTGCCTGCTACTCCTCTCATAAACAGCATGTTCACAAGTAGAGAAAAGGGAGTAGATTTAATAAAAACATTGATTTGCTTGAGAAATATAGAATGCCTATGTAGCCATATACGCATCTGCTTTCCTCACAATTTGCATATGTTTCAATACCTCACTCAAATTTACGAAGTAGATTAAAGGCCTAGATATTAGTAGAACTGTTGTAACAGACAGACATTTACAATCACAAGCATTTCTTACCTGCACCTTTCATTGAAGTAATTCAAGTATATCCCAAGAAAACTGTAAGAAATTATATACTCACTGCATGATACTCAGTCTCTACAACAAAACATACATATAGTTAACTACTGAATTTTTCATACCCCTTGTAAATTAAATGTTTTTTATGTTTTCGTTACTCAAGAATGAAAGGTTGACTGGTTGAAATAGGGCTATTTTAAGTACTTTTAGATGTAAGCTTTAATATGTCGCATTCTCAAGAAACCAACTTTCAAATACTTACAAATTAAAAAAACTTGGTGAGGGTATGAAATACTTTGTTATTAACTGTATATCCCATATCCTAGATTCTACAGGTGCATATTTCATGCATGACAGTTCATATGAAAACTGTGTGTGACTGGTCATTATAATCACAAACTAATCACAAACTTAGTCTTCATTAGCCATTCATCTTGAAATCAATTATGCAAATATGTTGAGACCAAATACCAGATTTTGTTAGCCACATTCACATCCACTTTATGATTGCATATTGTACTTAAGAAAGCTGTGATCATTTAGAAAATTGTATACATGTGTCATGATTTCAAGAATAGCTATGCTTTCTAATTTTTTAAGTCATTAATTACAACCATTGTTAGCAAACGACAGATCAAATTTCAGGATTTTAGTGTCCTCTTGGTAGTGAATGAAGTTGTTGATGTATCAATGCTCCACCTGATTTGCCCTCTTCTGTTATTATTAGGGTGAAACCAATCTCCCTATGAGCCTGATGGTAAGTTTTGAGGAAATCAAAGTGTTGTGGTTTTCTGTTTCTTGACAAAATCAACTCCACAGTTTCATCACGATTAACTCCATTGATGTTCATTTTTAAACAAATATTTGTCGATACTAAAAAAAAATGAAAATCATATTTTTCATTCCATTTGTGTGAAGATTTTGATGTCCTGCCTAAAATGTTAGCAACTAAAATGTTACCATCACTATCACCACCACCACCACCATCACCACCACCATCACCACCTCCACCACCAACAACATTACCATCACCACCTCCACCACCACCACCACCACCACCACCACCACCACCACCACCACCAATACTTATCCCCATCCTCAATTCTATCCCCACTAGTCCAACATTCTTCTTCACTATTAGCTTTCCCTCTCCATCTTCCAGTTTTCCTTTAAAAAGAACATTTTTGTGCACTTTAGTCATAATTCTTGTGTCTCTATTGCAGTATATTTCCATATTTTAATGTATGCACTCTTTCTGATTTTCACTTTTATATGTAGTCAGCATTTCTCAATTCATTGCCCATCTTTGTTTGACTGTATGCCTTCATTTTACTTTTTTTGCTGTGTTTGGTTTGCTTGCTGTTGTCTATCATGCTTGACCTCCTGCACTCTGCTTCCCACCTTTCACCTTTAACCTCTAACCTTTCCCCCCTCACTGCTTCATCCTTGCACCCCTAGCTATCCCCCACCACCCTCCTCGTCCATGAGTGTCGTGGCCGTGGCCGTACACCTCTTGAGGTCGAAGGTCAGAGAGTGAGCCAGATATCCCCAGCATGCTGGTACTGGGATCTGTCTTTAGAAGACGGCTGGACTCCCAAGCTCAACAGGGATATATTTAGACAATTACACGTTAGAAGAAGGCTAGATGTAGGTATAGGGAGGGAGAGCTCAATACTAAAAGGGGTCAAAGAGCAAACAAGCTTCTGCCATTCAGAATATTTCAGAAATGATTACATCAAATATATAGCAGTGTTCCCACTTTTTACAATATCTTCAAAGTAACCCCTTACTTTAATATATAAAGTACAGATCCCTGATGTAGCGTTAGAATAATAGGTTCCCAATAGCTGTGTAAAGTCCAATAAATGCGATCATTGGATTGTTTGGCTTTTTTTAATGAAGAACTGATAAATGTTGGAAAGTTCTTGGAAATCTCAAGCATTAACAGCAAGATTTTAACCAAGGGAAGAAGATCATATGGTAACATATATAGTTCATTCATTCAGATTCATTTGTTCAGTCAGACTCTTTCATTTCAGAATGATAGACTGTTTTGGGAAATTGTATTTTATTATTCCTTTTATATTGGTGATAAAAACCTATAATATTATTTACATACATTTTTGTGGTGTGGGGTGGGTTCTGATTCATTTTTTTGCATGACAAACCTACCCATTTAGTATAGAAGCATTTCTTATATTTATTCAGTCATTTCAGAACAGATTCTTTGGAAGTGGAATCATCACGGACGCTGATATTCATGCAGAGATGTGTAATGTTTGTTTTTTCTTCCATCCATATGTCTTTGAATGACAGCAAGATGAGGCAGTTGAGAAGCCTACGCAACCTAAGAAGACAGTGACAGGTACGGATGCTGATCTGAGAAGGCTCAACCTCAAGCAGGCCAAGCAGCTCCTCAGGAACTTTGGCATTGCTGAGGAAGACGTAAGGAATGCCTCTTTGTTGCGGTGTCAGGGGAGGGTCATGAAAGGTCTGACTGAGGAAAATTGTATAGAAAGCACTAACAAGAGCAGTATAGGATTAGAACTGACAGTCTTAAGCCTTGAAATTGAGTTATTTCTCAGGTTCTCTTTGGTTCAGTTTTTATCCTCATAAGGAAGGCCTTCGGACAGAAATATTAGCCTGATAATTAGATCCCTGAGTTGCTTACAAGAAAGAATGACTATGCCAAACACACTGGGTAGATGCAATATCAATATGGTCTTGACATCATTTCTTTTCCTCTTCATGTGTAGTTAAACAAAGTGAAATCTTGGATGTAAATTTTCCAGCTATTTATCATTCTCTATAGACTTCAACAGAATATTACTGTACACAGGACCTTGAAAATCTTGGGTAATATTTACATAATGAATAAAATCTAGAGATGCATTTTTATCTACAAATGACTGTTCTATTGTTAATATATAACAGATCAAGAAGTTATCTCGTTGGGAGGTAATTGATGTTGTCAGGACCTACTCTACCCAGCAAGCTAGAACAGGTGATAGTACTACATCAAAGTTTGCCAGAGGAAACCGATTTGGAATCGCTGAGCATCAGGAACGATACAAGGAGGAATGCCAACGAATCTTTGATCTTCAAAGCAAGTAGGTTAAGGGCTTCAAATGTCAAATATGATGAAGAGTGTGCATCAGTAGGCATGATGTCAAGTCAGGGTTGGTGGAGGACTGTGTTATCATTCTCCAAAGATTTTGTGATGATTTTAAGAGGATGATGTTCCACAGCTTCATCAAAGTGGAAGATTTAATTGGCACAAATTTATTTCAGGAAACTGTAATATACAGTGTACATTCTAATAATAATAATGATGGTTTTGTCCTTCATGAAATAAGACATGATATCAGTAAAAAAAATTATTAAAAAACCATATTTATTTCATCTGTATATTATTACATAACATGTCGTGTCGTACTTTTGCAAGTGATTTTATAAGTCATGAAATTTATAGTAACAATCTTGTGTTGTTTTGATTATTTCCAGGGTACTATCCAACACAGAAGTATCAACAGATGAGGAGAGTAGCTCAGGAGAAGGAGAGGATAGTGATTTTGAGGAGATGGGAAAGAATATTGAAGTCATGTTATCGAGCAAGAAAACAAGCTCACAGGTGAGTTTTTATTCTTTTCTAATATTTCCAATTCTGATTTAGTAACCATTAAATGTTTTATGAAATACAGCATTGCATGTACAGAGTCTTTGGTTGAGTAAGCCACGCATCACCAAAATTTGATTTTATATTTGCTTTGTTATACCTACTAGAATGTTTTTGAGTTTTATTGCTAAGCAGTCTACAGGATTATTGTATACAATATAGTTGACTATCCATGACTTAGTATTAAAGAGTGACTTTCCTTCCTACACATTGTTGTGTATTTGACAGGGTAACTTGTTCAGCCAGTAGCTTAACAAGTTAATTCTTTAAAAGTCCAGTTGGTTAGATGGGCAAGTGGAAGACTACTCTGAGTTTCATTCATAAATGAATGATACACGCCAAAATAAACTTGAACAACAACAACAACAATTCCTCTTGACCCTTTCTCTTGACCCTTTCTCCTGACCCATCCCTCTATGAAACATAAAGTAGGTCATTACCATGTGTAGGTCATGACTTTCCTTCACATGCCAATACAAGGACTGAGATTGTTTTGAATGTTTTATTCTGCAGTTATCTCATGAGCGCGAGGAGCAAGAGAGATTGGAACTCCAGCGCATGATCATGGGTGAGGATTCTAACAGTGCCACGCCCAAGGGGGGCAAGGATGGGGCTGGACCCTCTACCTCTAAGGGGAGCAGGACCAACACACCTGTACCAGGCAAAGATGATGATACAGGATCAGTACATAGCTTTGCTTCTTCTCTGGTAAGAAGTCTTGTATTGTAAAACATCTTAAAGATGTTCATGCATGGTATATAGTCGTCCGTGGAGTAGGCAACTTGGCGATCACTACATAACACTGGGCCAACGGATATCACGCTCCAGTGGGCACGCCTGTGTGCTGCCCTCTATATACCCACGCATGAGCAACTTTAATGTAAGCTAGGAACATTTTGCTCTTGGCAACATCAGAAGCTTTCAGAAAATCATGCCATATAACTGATCTTTCCAGGCAATTCTAGGGCATGCCTGTATACGACTAACATTTATGTGAAAAATGTATGTGTGATAGTTTCTTATGTTCAGATATGTACCAAGCCTTCATAATATCCTGATTAAAATATCAGTTGTGCTTTCAAGTTTTATGAAATAACTTCCTGGAATACCTTAAAAATATAGAAACATACAAAAAGATCAGAAGTAATTTGAAAACATATCAATTTAGCACTTTGTAAGATCTCACAATTTCGAACCCAGTGCACCATTTCCTACTTTGTATTCTGTTCTGTAAGGTGCATAGAGATATATATGAAATTATGCCTATGTGTTATTATTATTATTTATTTCATACAGACCATTAATAAACAATGATTGGGTGACAATTTGTCAGAAGTAATTGACTAAGCCCACTTTAATCAGTTTTCACTCAAATTGTTTTGTTGCAGAATAAGCAACAATCAGTAATCTGTACCTTATTTTTTTAATTTGTTGTAAGTCATGAAAACTTTGCTAATAATCATTAGTTGCTCATAAGGTCATTATGATTCTTATTATCATCTTGTCAGTATGTCTACCTTATAAGAGCCCAAATATTTATTGAATATTATTGTTGTTTTGTTTGTTAGTCTGGACGGAGACTGAAGATTCACAGGACCTTCAAAGGAGAGGATGGTAAGGAGTATGTGAGAGTAGAGACTGTCAGGAGAGCAGAAGTCATTGATACATACGTCCGGATCAGACAGACTAAGGATGAGTCATACATGTAAGTCAGGCTTCTCCATCATTATCCGTCCTTTCTCTCAGTCTGTTTCTCTCTGTTTCCCCTCTTCTTTCTTTTCTCCATTTATTGAATCTTCAACTTCAGTGCTTCATTTCTTATCTCCTTTCATGTGTTTTCTCTGTTCTTTCCACAATTTTTTTATTTTTCCTTTCTCATTTGTTAATGTTTTTATCTTACTCCTTTTTCTCTCTCCATCTCCCCCTCTCTCTCTCTCTCTCTCTCTCTCTCTTTTTCTCTGTCAATGTTTTATTCCTTTGAGTTTGTGTTGGTATTATAATCTGATTTAATATACTTGGTGGTTCAAGGTATACTGATGTAACTTTTCATTCTCCAGGAACTGATTCCTTAACTGCATTGTTATTTTAAGTGATATGTTTCATAGGCATTTTGTCAATCATCTCCATATCTGCCTGTTCTCTCTCACACCATGTTATCCCCCTCTCTCTCTCTCTCTCTCTCTCTCTTTCTCTCCCTCTCTTTCTCTCTCTCTCTCTCTGTGCAGTCGTCAGTTTGCCCTGCATGATGACCGTCATCGTGAGGAGATGAAGAAGGAGCGGAGGAGAATCCAGGAGCAGCTCCGGAGGATCAAGAGGAACCAGGAGAAGATGGAGAAGGAGAAGGTCAACCCCAAACCAAAAATCATCAAGAAAATCAAGAAGAAGAAGGAGAAACTAAACCTAAAGGTGAATACTAATCATAATAAAATCATCAAACACAAGAATATATGGTCCTTTTTCAGCATGATTGCCCAATTACACTGATCTGAAAGAATATACTTAAGGATACAAGTTTTACCTGTTATCAAGTTGATGTCAACTACTCCAATTCTTTCTAGGATTGAGTCCCCTTATCAAAGATTCATAGGTGCAATATTGTCACATCAAATTTTACCATCAAATTTTTGGGGCTCCCAATACTTTAGAGGGGCTTTAAAGCTTCTCGGTGTGGTACTTCATTCTGTATAGATCCCTGTGCTCTTTGACAGTTTGTACTAGCTCAGCGACTCCATTAGGATTGAAAAATGTGATTGGGATATCACTTTTCCTATGAGATATTCTTTGAGGGAATTTGTTGTCAGTTAGATGAAGTGTGGTGCATGGTTAACCAATAACTTCCTTTTCTCTCCGCTTCCCACTCAGATGAAGTGTGGGGCATGTGGTCTGATAGGTCATATGAGGACCAACAAGGATTGTCCCAGTTACAAGAAGGAGGACTCTGAGAAACCTGCTCCCATCAATGTTGCCATGACGCAGGAGCAGGAAGAGGAAGAAGAGAAACAGCTCGGTGATGATGAACTGGTCAAGACGGAAGGAACAAAGATCCTCCTTGACCGAAGGGTCATTGCCCAGTGAGTACAAAACATATTATATATTCTTGGAAATGTCATTCGGTCTCCATATCTTTAAATTGTTATTCTTGCTCTCATCGATTTAGTAATAATGTTCTTACTGTAGCATTCTAGAAATATTGAGTGTTATCAAAGAAGGATTTTAATGAGCATGTATCACTGCTACTCATGAACATAGGTGTGCTGAGTTATGTTTCAACTGTTACAGAGGTGCTTGCCACCCTTTAGCTGGTTTAGGCAGTAGTGCAGATATGATATGAATATCTGTCAGCAGAATAATGAATATGATAATTCATCCCTTCTCTCTATGTGATTATCGATCTATCTAAATATATTCTCCCGGTTCGGAGGTTGATGGCAACATCTCTCCAGTTCACTCTATCTTCTGCCATTCTGGTGCACTCTTGCAGTTTTAGTCCACTCCAGTTCTTGACATTCTCTTTCCAGTTGATTCTGTGTCTCCCTCTAAGTCTACTTCCTTCCACTCTTCCTTCCAATACATCCTTTAAGAGGCTTTGGTGCCTTTTAACATGACCAAAGTATTTGATTTTTCTCTCCTTAACTAATCCTACTAGTGCAATTTATTTACCCTCTGCCATGTGCAATATCTCTTTGTTGGTTTTCATTCGTTTCTAGGATATTTTCATCATTCTTCTGTGAATCCACATTTCAAAAGATGTTATTCTATTTTCCATGGTCTTGCTTATTGTCCATGTTTCTGCTACATAAAATAGGACAGACCATACATAACAGTTTACTAGTCTCAACCTTAGCGCAAATTTCACCTTTCTATCTGTGAATAAGTCTTTCATTGCCAGAAATATATTCCAAGCAATTTCTATTCTTCTTTTTATTTCTGCTTCGCATCTGGCATCATCTGTGATATTTTGTCCTGTGATTATGCCCATATTTAATCCCTCTCTCTCTCTCATTTCTTGTCCACATCCCCCAGTGCTGATAAGATCCGAAGGCAGTCCTTGGTTCTAAGGTTTCCTAAGGAGAATATCAAACAGACCAAGAAGAGAAGAGTCAACCCAGAACCTCACTGTGATTACCTCAAGGTATGTTTATAATTGATGTTCAAGTCAATTCATTTCATTTTATTTGCACTTTTGATACAAATCACAAGAACAAACATACACAATACAAAGTCAATTCCAACAAATAACACAACACAACAGAAGTATCAAAATGTGGGGGGACAAACAGTTTTGTCCCCAAAACTATATGAGTAATTAAATATAAATTAAGTGGTACAACAGGAAGACAGAGAAAAACAAGGCAAACGTTACGCTTAACCCTATTTTAACTGGGCTATTTCAGACCAGGTTTTTACTGGGGGGGGGTCAATTTGACCCCCCCTTAAGATCTCGGCCGTGAAACAGCCGATCGCCGCGAAAATTTGCATACATGTCAAGTGAAGTGTATAGAATACTATGGTAATTTCAATTTTTTGAAAAAGTCACTCATTTACATATTTATGGTAATTTATGCAAATAAGGTCATAAAATTCACACTTTTGCCCATAAATCATACATTATTGATATTTAAGCATTCTTTTTCACTACATATATTTGTTAGACCGTTTGGAATAATAATACAACACAAAAAATTACAAGAGCCAGGTTATTCCTTGCTATCTCTTGTTTTGATAATTTCTTATGTATTTCATTGTTTTTTCAACTTATGTATTTTATTGTTTTTGTTGTTTTATTTCATTTATAACAACAATTCAACTATTTTGACCCCAAAACAAACACCCAAACTTTAAACAAGACTAAATAACCAATGTTTTATCTCTTTTTAGGAAAAATGACATTTCCATATGTTTTGTTCACAAATCACAAAAATGAACGATTTTCGGGCTGACATGCAACAACAAAATGTCACGCGACTCCGTAACTATACGTCCGATTTTCGAAAAAATTGTTTTAAAAGATGCGTAAGACTCGAAAGAAAAAAGTCATGAAAGGAAAATTTTATATCTGCCGCGGTTTCGGAGTAGTCGCGAAATTTCTACACGGGGGGGTCAAATTGACCCCCCCCCCCAGTTAACGTAGGGTTACCAGACTCAGAGGGTGTATAATTTAATAAATTAAATTTATATATTGTTTAAAACTAGATAAGGAAGGGCGATTCTTTATTCTTTGTTACACGTAACATGATTGTCATAATCATTACTTGATGATGAAGTTTGAAATGATATCAAAGACGTTATCTGAAATGCCAAAATGTTATTGATTTTTGGAGTCACAAGCAGAACCTGCAGTATTGTGCATCTACTGGTTTTCCATATACTCATTCTGGTATCTAAAAAAAACTGCTTGGAGATCAACTTTGAACCTGAGACTTGATTGCATCATGAGGTTCTAGGGTCATTATGCTGTAAGTGAAAGTTAATTAGGACTAACTGTACCCATAATGCTACATTTCGTAGATTTGCCTGTGCTAGATATCGAGCCACTTCTTCCTGTAATCAAGTGTTAGAAGTCTTTCTGTGTGTCTTTGATATCCGTTTTCAATAACATCCCATTTGATCTTTGTCTCTATGTGCTTGTTTGTTGCAGAGACCCAAGCAATCTAAGAACCGACGAAGAGCTGATCCTCAGGTCATCATGAGTGGTATCCTGGAGGAGATACTCAATGCAATCAGAGAACTACCTTATGTAAGCTATTAAAGCCCCACTGCACTACTCATAACTACTTGCGCCCTCTATATAGCAAACAATGCCTTATCGGTGACCGCTGGTCCCCCATGATCCTCTTTTCTTATGTTAATTGAGAGCTGATTTGATGAGATAACCACCTGTCAGTGACCATGCTGGGTGGTGTAATCCCTCCGGGCCAAACTAGTGCAGACGGGCTTTAAAACATTGTGGAGAAGCCATGGGGATGTGGTATGGCTCCAAGGAAAGACCAATGATCTTAAGAAGTCAATATGCCAGTGCTGTTTGGCCAGGCATATATTATTTCATCCCTTCGAGACACAAAAAAGATGAAGTTCCCTTTGAACTTATGTACCCTTAGTCAGGTCTGATGATTTCTTGATATTTTAATCCCAATTTTGTTTAAATATTTTTTTCTCTTCCAGATTTTTCCAGATTTTTTCCCATCTTACTCAAAAGGGGGGAATGTTGTTAGATGCAATTTCTGTTTCCCTGAATCCTTTTTTTCTTTTTTTACTCCAGGGGGGTGGTTGAGGAAAATAAAGAACCTTTTTTTTTAGTGCTCACTATCACCCCTGCCTTAGTAAATGTGCTTTCTAATAAGGATATATAAATGTAATCAACATTGACGAATGTAATCATGAAGAATGTGATGCTGACCATATCTAAACTTGATCGGATATTTTTGAAGGATAAATGATTTGAATATCATCTTAAAGTCATGGCAAATCATGTACAGGTTCTTTGGTAAAATATTACAAAGTAGCCATAGAAATGACCAATGCAATTTCTTTTGTGTGAAATGAATGTGTAAATAAAGTAAAGTTAATTCATTAAAAAACTGTGAAGTGTCCTAGATTATACCAATTATTAATTGGATGTGAATTCAAGTACACATTCCATGACAGTGAATATCATAATTATATATTATGATGATTGTATTCTCTTTTCCAGACCCAACCATTTCATACTGCTGTTGAGAAAAGGAAGTTTCCTGATTATTACAAGATTGTGAGCAAGCCCATAGCTCTCCAGACCATCAGAGATGTAAGAAGACATTCTTCTATGAATTGATGTAAATCAACTACAGTCAAACCTGCTTTAGTGACCACCTGTCTACAATGACCACGTTTTTTGTTTCCCTTGATAATGGTTTCTCATTGAAACATGTACTAAAAGAACCTGTCTACAAAGACCACTTTTTATGTTTTTCATAGGCGGTCACTATAGACAGGTTGACTGTATTTTGTACAAAAATCATGTGAACATTATTTGTAGTTTACCCGGTATAGTGTAAGTGAGCTTACAAATAAAGCTATGCATTCTGTATTATCACAGTTATGAATAAATTCTATTAAAGCAAATCTGAATTACAAATTTCTCTCTGGCTTGTACTTTCTTTACTCTGCCTTGTACTTTCTTTACTCTGCCTTCAATTGATAGTGTATCATGTGAATGTTAATTTTTATCATAAGCATCAAATTCTAAACAGTATTTTCTACCAATCATTTTAACGCGGTCAACTGTACAATGCTGTATTTTCTCCGTCACAGAACGTGCGTAAGCATCGTTACGCATCCAGAGACTCGTTTGAGGCAGATATCAATCAGATTGTTGATAACAGTATCCTGTACAATGGAGAGATGAGCCCTCTTACAATGGTGGCTAAGAACATGCTGCTAATGGCACAGAAGAAGATGCAAGAGGTAAACATTTTCGTTAGAGGCAGATAGTATTATATTTTATCTCCATCCTGTTCTTCGCAACACCAACCAGCTAGAAAACTTTAAAGCAGCCTCTAGTCCATCAATATTGGAGTAGCGGGCACCTTTGAATGTTTGAAACAGATACATGGCACCATACAAGTGCTGTGGATCATCATCATCATCATGTATCATTAGATGTCAAAGGGTATCTTGTGAATATCTAATTTTACAATATTGCTTCTACTTCAAAAACTCTTACTTATTGATCATACCTTATTTAAATATACTCTCATTTTTTTAAGATTAGGTACAAATTTGTAGAGATATTTCTGTTTGTTGACGAATTCCTGCTTTTATTACTTCATAAAAATGAAATATAAATGCAGAGATCAAGTGCATTTCATTCCTCATGAGTACATTTGGGATATATGCATTACTTTATATGCACTTCCAATTCATGCATCTGATAAATTTCCTTCATCATCAAACTAAACTGATATAAGGATAGCTGAGAGATAATGAAAAGGTACATGTACATCAGGTAGATCCACATCTAATAAGAAGATAGGGTGTGATCTAGCTCACATAGTAGTTAAAAGACACCAAAGCCTCTTAAAGGATGTATTGGAGGGAATAGTGGAAGGAACTAGACCGAGAGGGAGGCCCAGAATCAACTGGGAAGAGAATGTCAAAAACTGGAGTGGACTAAAACTGCAAGAGTGCACCAGAATGGCAGAAGATAGAGTGAAATGGAGAGATGTTGCAATCAACCTCCGAACCAGGAGAAGATACTTAGATAGATAGAGTAATTAATTAAATAATGTTTCTTCAAATACTAATTTTCCAACTCTGCAGAAAACTGAGCGGATGTCCCGCTTGGAGATGGCCATCAATCCACTGCTGGGTGACGATGATCAGCTTGCTTTCTCCTTTATCCTGGATAACATTCTAACAGCTCTCAAACTTGTACCAGAGGTAATATTATACAAAAAATACACAGCAGTGAGGGCATTGGTAAGAATTTCCCACACAAGGTACCTTTGGAATAGTCAAACATGCCTGAGGCGATGGCCGAGGGTATTTTGGACTGTTTCGAAGGTACCAAGTGCGAGTAATTTTAATAACGCCCAAACAAAATGATGTGTATTATTTGTTTTATGAGATGATGTTTTATTTGTTTTATAAAATCATGTTTTATAACATGATTTTACTAATGACCGGTCATAAGTACTTATTAATGACCGGTCATTGTAAAATTACTTGTTGGGCAAAATAAATGTCTGGTGTACGTTCTCAACCAATCATTTGATTAGGATTCGCTTCATCATCTTAAAAACTCCAATATACTCAATGATATCCTCTCCCAAACCACTCTCACAATATGACTCTATTGGTAAAAATGTTGTAGAATCCTATCCCAGTTTTTGAAACATTATTCTGGTACACACAAGAAATTAATCTCAGCAGTTTGTAGTTTGTAGAGTATGAATTTCTTTCCAGGTTCTGACTCTGTTGAAATCAGTTAATAATTCACTTAATGACAGTAATTTAGCTTGATAAAGATGATCTTCCCCATTCCCCCCCCCCCCTAGAATAAGTTATGCAAGATTCTGTTTATGAAGAAACCTTTCAAAAAGTGTTTTATTGGACCTAACAGTGGTAGTGTTTCCAAATATTCTTTGCATTCTTTCTGAAACAATACAAGCCCTAGATTTTTTTTTTTTTCTCTTTTCCTCATACGAGGCACTTTATTACTTTATATCATTTTAACAACATTGTACATAGAGTTTAATTACAATATATATATATATTCACAATCAACAAACTGATATAATAAAATAGGGGAAACATAAGGAAAGTGGAAGGGAAAGATCAAGGCATGAATATAAATGCGTTAAAGGTTCAACTAAGAAAGATTCATCTTGATATTACTTATTAATTGTTCTTGGTTTCTGTATTGCCAATTGACATAAAACATAAAATCGCTTTTGAAAGTCATCCAAATTGAATGACTATTGAAGGATTTACTTCTAAGATGATTAAGTATATACACCTTATAAATTGCATATTGTGCGTAAACAATTAATACATTCATGAGCAAAAACTCCGGGTCTTCAATGTTGAAACCAATTAGTATGATTTTTTCTCCTAACTCAATATCTTTTTGGAACAAGTTCGTTACCAGATGATGAATTTTTTGCCAAAAGACTGCGACTTGGCGACATCTTAGCAAAATGTGTATAAACGATTCTGATTCATTGCAATATGTACAAAGCATATCGGATGTAATTTTCCACTTGTAAAGATTGTCTTTGAAGGGTAAAACTTTATGAAGCAGTTTGAAATTAAATTGTCTTACTCTGTTGTCTTTGATCTTTTTTAATTTAAAATCTAAAACATGCCTCCACTCAAAATTGTTTGGTAGTTGCATTTTTTCCTGCCAAAACAATGACACCGGAGGATTTTCTTTTTTGAACTCATTCAAAAGAATATAAAAGTGTTTTGCTTTCATGAGACTTAATTTAATCAAGTCGCAGTTCGATATCTCAAACATTCCTTCAGAAACTTCTGTTGCAATTGGATTAAAATTATTATTTCTTATTTTTTCTACCCATACTTTTGGAAAAGCCCTTTTTAGTTTCGAGAGTTTGAAGCTATCTAGTAAAGAACTTGTACCTAAACGTTCGAAGAGAGTGTTGCATGACACCCATTGTCCGTTTTCAAATACATCACTAACTTTACAGATTCCATTTACATTCCATTTTTTAAAAAATAAAACATTTCGTTCATGTTTGATGTTACTGTTATACCACAGAATTTCATTACATATGTCTCTTACATTCAGGAAATGAACATATCTTAATTCGCACCAATATGTGAGTAAGTTAGCATAGAATATTGGTAACTTATACATCTTACATAGCGAGAACATGTCTTTGCTTGAGCAGTTTACTTTCAAAATTAATGGTATGTCTTGAATAAAACTGATCCAATATCTAAAAAGTATTCTCCATTGCGACTTACCCCCTTTCATATATTTTGAAAACCAAGATAATTGCAATGATTGGAATTTGGTTTGTATATCTACCATGTTTAAACCCCACCCCTCTGCAGCACGAGTAACAACCTCTCTTTTTATTTTTTCCCTTTTTGATCCCCAAAGAAAGCTATAAATTAATCTGTTTAGGTTGACAACAAACTTTTGTGGAATTGGTAAACATGTCGCAATATATACAAATTGGGAAGCAATAAGCGTTTTTATGATTGTTATTTTCCCATAGTATGTCAGGTTCCTCATTTTCCAAACTCTCAGCAACGAATTTACTTTCTCCAGTTTCAAGTTCCAATTTAAACTTTCCGATTCTTTCTTTCCTTGAGTTATGTACACACCTAAGTATTTAATGGGCTCATTAGTCCATTCTAAATTATCTAAGCATTCTTCTTGAAAAGAAGTTGACATGACATTGGTTTTCATTAAATTCAGTTTTGGCCCTGCTAAGACCCCAAATGTTTTCACCTCTTTTATGGCAGTGTTTCCATCTTCTATAGCGTTAACAAAAATTACCGTGTCATCTGCTAATTGAGATATTTTGATATTTTCTTCAACGACAGGTGGATTTTTTAACGAAATACTAATACCTTTTATGTTGGTATTTTGCTTTATTCTCACAGCCATAACTTCGGCAACCAGTATAAAGAGAAGAGCCGATAACGGACAACCTTGTCTTACACCTTGATCTATTCTGAAATCCTTAGAGACCCAGCCGTTGTTAATAACTCTGCCTATTGCATTACTGTAGAGTGTTTTGACCCAATGTTTAAACGTTTCTTTGAACTTAAATCTATCTAATAACAAAAATAGGAAATCATGACAAATGTTATCAAAAGCCTTTTTGAAATCTAAGAAAATCAAAATACCAGGAGAATTTGCATAGTTACAGTAATCAATCACGTCTAAGACAAGACGAATATTCTGCACAGCAGAACGTTGTTTTAAGTATCCCGTCTGATCGGGAGAGACTAAAATTTCCATTACATTATGCAAACGTTTACAAAGCGTTTTTGCAAGGATCTTGTAGTCAATGTTTAACAATGAGATCGGTCTCCAGTTATCTACTAAACGCTTGTCTCCCTTTTTATGCAGTAATGTTATAACAGCTTGCTTCTGGCTTTCAGACAATTCTTGTTTTGCAAATCCTTCATTTAAACTGTCGATCAACATACACTTCAAGTCAGCCCAGAAACACTTGTAAAATTCTGCAGTCAGACCATCACTGCCTGGAGATTTGTTATTTCTCATTGAATTTAACGCATCAAAACATTCTTTCTCTGTGATCGGTCCTTCACATAATAAAGCTTCTTCTTCAGAAAGAGTAGTTAAGTTTGTTGTTTCTAAATACTTTTTCATATCAGAGATATCATTAAATGTATGCTTGGAGTACAATTCCCTATAATATTTAGTTATTTCTCTAAGAATATTTTCGTTTCCAGTAATTATTTTCCCTTTGTTTGTAATACAATCTAATTCCTTTCTTTTCCCATTTCTTTTTTCTAAATTGAGAAAGTACTTGGTTGACTTTTCACCCTTTTCCATCCATCGTTCTCGAGATCTAATAAATGCACCTTTACATAAATGTGTGTGCCATTTTTCAATCTTTTTCTTTATTTCTAGCATTCTGTCTATATCTTCTCTAGTATGGTTACTGTCAACTTTTCTGCAAACCTCTGTATATTCATTATACATTTTCTTGTACTGATTGGATTTTTCCTTCAGCCTCTGTTTAGAAAACTTCATGGCAAATTCTCGTATTTTTATTTTACACATATCCCATTTAGTTCTTGCATTCATTCGATTATGGCTAGACTTTAAAGCTTGTATGATGTTTTTAATTTTGTTCTTAAAATCAATTTCACATAGAAATGAATTATTAAACTTCCAAAGACCTTTCCCCCTTTCAACGCTATCTGTTTTCAATCTTAATGATACAGCACAATGATCACATTTGATGGCAGGTCTTATATCGGTAGTTTGAACGTAACAATATAGTGACGATGAAATAAGCCAATAATCGAGTCTAGAATAGATTCCTAACGATAGTTGTCGCCATGTAAATTGCTTTCCTTGCGGGTTCATTTTCCGCCATACGTCAATCAGTTTGAGTTTATTTTTAATGTTTTGTAACCACTTAATTGGTTTGTATACCTGCGACCAGCCTCGGGTATCAAGCTGAGGATCTTGTACACCGTTCCAATCACCTCCAAATATAAGTAAATCGTCTTTGTGCTTAATACATTTTATCCAGTTGAACATCTTTTTGTAAAACAACTCTTTTTGTGATTTTACAGTCGGAGCATATACATTTAGCACGAAGTATATCTTCTTTCTGTATCTAAATCTAACAGCGACAGCTCTTCCATCAAAATTTACAAAACTTTCACATATTTCTATATCATTCTTTATCTTGACTATAGTAACAACGCCTTTAGAGTGGTTAGTTCCGTGGCTGAAGAAAGAAAGATCACCACATTCTGATTTAAATGATGTTTCTAGTTCAGAGGTTAAAAAAGTTTCTTGCAATAAAATGATGTTTGCTTTTTGAAACGATAGCCATGAAAATATGATATCTCGTTTCGCTTTATTTCTTATTCCTCTTACGTTGAGGGATATTAGGTGTAATATTTGAGATTCCATATTAAATCAGATATGTGGCATCTTTGTTTACATCAGCCAAGATATAGCCGTTTCCAGCAGAAGAGTTCTGTCCATTACTTTTTCTTGTGTTTTCTTTTTCTTTTAGGAGGTTTGTTTCCATGCTTTTTTGGTGTTGGTGTCTCTGGTGACAATGGCGACGATTCTTCTTCGCTCTCTGTCGCGTCTGTGGTGATTGTTTCTTCGTCTGTGACCGCCGACTCTCTTGCACAGGGCTGAGCATCGCGAACACTTCGCAGGAATTCGGAGATCACTGGTTGTCTACGAGATGACGACGCGATCGGCGTGTTGTTTTCCTTTGTGATTGCCGATCGTGACATTGCTTGTGACTCCGAGTCGGGTGCGCCTTTGTCTTCGCGTTGTTGTTGCTGTACATTTCGGTGTGGGCGTGTCTCCTCTCTCGCTACTGGATTGCGTAACTCTGTGTTTACATCTGATCCAGGGCATTCTGCGCTAACATGACCGGCTTTTTTACAAGCTCTGCATTTTACTGCATTCTGACACTGTGATGTATAATGCCCGGTTTCTAGGCATTTTGAGCATGACGTCAGCCGCTCAGGTTGCCCGATGTGAAAAACCCTAGCCTTGAACAGATTCGCTATCGTAATTGATCTGGGAAGTGGCTGAGCTGGGGGGTCGATGAAACAAACTCGGTCTCCGTTAAGACAATTAATAAGCTGTCCATTTACTCGTAGTTTTTGACGTGTTATATCTCCTCTGATATTACACTTCAGCTTTTCTAGCGACTGCTTGATGAGCTCGTCCCCTACGGATAAAGGGACATCCTTAATAGCTACACGGGTAAGATGTTCATTTCTAGCCTGAGTGTATGGGTTGGTATCGTACACGGGTATCACCGTTTCCCTCAGCTTAAGGCCATTCGTGATGATTTTTACCCTATCTTCATGGCTATTCAGATATATTCTCCATAAAGAACCAATGCGTTGGATTCCGATAATGTTGTCTGAAGTTACGGTATGTGATAGTGCACAATAAAGCTCCTCACCTGAGATAGGATTTTCTTTATTCGGAACATCTCTGGCTTGAACGAACACCGGTTTGGGTCCACGGGGCATGTAGGCTTCCTGTTTTGGAGTTGCCATTTCCGAATACATGATACATACACACAAAATCTGCTAAAATCTCACCAATCCGACGTATATCCTCAAAGACGAATATAACAGCAAAATCTTTGTTCTATTTACTAATAACTGTTGACAAAATGAAAGCAAACTAAAATGCTCTTCGATTACAAATCAGCGTTTTTTACAAGGTTTCAGGACGGAAACGTCGTAACGTGTCTATCCATTCAACCGAAAAAATACAAGCCCTAGATACTATGTGTTGTGGTGTAGTGGATAAGTCTGCGGACTGTGAACCACAAGGTACAGGGTTTGAACCCGGGTCGCAGCACCAATGTCCTTTGGCAAGACATTAATCTACAATTGCCACACTCCACCCAGGTGAGGGAAATGGATACCTGGCAGGAATTAGCTCCTTGAAATGCTTGAGCGCCGTAATGGCAGCCGTGCTAAAGCCAGGGTAATGATAATGGAGCGCCAAGAGTGGCAATGTGCCAGACATTTGAGCGCTAATAAGACTCCACTTTTATCAGCATAATTATTAATATGTAAGGTTATTTTTTTATGTCTTTTAAATTTAGATAACTTAACATCTATTAAATGTGGTGGTGTTGTTTTTTGTTTCAGTCCTGGCCGTTCCATAACCCGGTAAATCCTAAGAAGGTTAGAGATTACTACAAGATCATCAAGTATCCTATGGACCTTGAGTCCATCAGGAAGAACATTGTTAAGCATTACTACCACTCATCTGAAGAGTTCCTCAAACATGTGGAGCGTATCCGTGACAACTGCATCCAGTACAATGGTCAGTTGCCTTCAGATTTTGTTCAGTGTCTTTGTTTTAATTTATGTCATTTTCAGCAACTTTATCTTCATCACTATGATGAATCGGCCTAATTAAATTCTGTTTTGTTTTTCTCCTAATGTCCTCTTCCTATTTGAGTTTCTCTTTCTCCATTTTAAATCTTACATTAGTAAGTTCATTCTTTGACATCAGAAAGTAAATGCTGATATGGCAGATGAGATTCTCATCAGTTTAGTAATAATAATAATAGCTAGTTCTTGTATAGCGCTTTTCTGGACCGAAGGCCCTCTCAAAGCGCTTTACAGATATATATATTATTACCCCGGTATATACCTCTTCATTAGGGTTTATAAGAACCCTATTCTCTTGTAACTGTTCAGACTGATGGAGTTTTTACCCTGATAATATGCTAAGTTGTTGAGATTTGAATGAATGATTTGATTCTAATCAGAAGTGTATATTATACACATATTGTGCTAGCTTCTATGACCCACAATGAAATGTGTATACAGCATATATATCTGATTATGTATAATATTTTAGGCATCCCCTGATGCATTTCCTGGAGTCGGAAGAAAAGACTTATGGGTTATAGGAATTTCACATTCCTTTTTTTCTTCCAGGCAACTTCAAGAGGTGCAACAGGGGAAGCCAGTTTTATTCTTTCATACTTTGTATCCTATGTGCCATTCTATTGTACCTTCTACTGTATGTTTGAAATGCCAAATATATAATAATAATAATAATAATAATAATTAGATTACATTTGTACGAGATTGAGATTACAAAACTTTTCATGTGAGTGAAATATTGTGTATCATCCTTTGACTTTATTTTCCCAATCCTGTCTTACGTTTGCAGGTAAGGAGAGTCAGTTGACATCGGTCTCAGAGAAGGTCCTGGAGACCTGTAAGAGTAAACTCCTGGAGAACGAGGAGCACATCTCACAGCTAGAGAGAGACATAGCACTGGCCCAGGAGGCTGTACTCAAGGGAGCTGAGACAGACGGCTTCGGGAGAGCTCCACGTACACCCATGAGTGGTGGCAATGATGATAGCTTGCTAGGTAGGTCTTTCAGATGGTACTTCCTATCCCCAAACCACACTTGCTGGATCCCCTGCTACCCTAACTTACCATACTGTCATCCCCTCAAACTCTTGTCTATCAGTTTTAACCCTCTCGCTGTCGGACTGCTGATGTTTTCCCGATTGATGTCTATAGTTGCCTTCACTGCCAGTCAGATCATGAATCCCTGCAGTAGTTAAGTAAATAATTGTGTTGTTCTAGTACACTCAAAAATACATTGGTGAAGCTCTTTCAGGATATCCTGTACCCAAGTTATTATGATTCTTGCTCTACATTCATCTCTTATACCTGGCTTTGACTCTTTCAAGGTATGTTCTCCAAGAAACATATATATATATATATATATATATATATATATATATATATATATATATGAGTGCATTTTTCTTATTGTTGAGTAGGATTTAAGGAGGACTTTCATCTTTCTCCATGCTACCTAAAACGTGTACTACATGCATTTTTATCCTTGATTATGTTCCCTTTGCTCGTATTGCTTTATAGGATATGAGGAAGACAGTCTGGCTAGTGGTGATAGAGACGGCATGGGGGAGATGGAAGGAGATTACATCGATATTGAAGGAGAAGATGTGAGTATTGCATATGATTGGATGATTAAGTTCAATCTTTCAATGGTTCAATATTTTACATCAAATGATACAAATAAAATCATGCTGTGCCACTAGTATTACTTATATCAGGCTGTGCCAAGAATGTTATCCATAGTTTTATTACTTGGAGATCCATCTTGTTAAAACAAAAATGAATGATTAAAATAAATAATTTTTTTAAATGATATATTATTATTATTGTTTTTTCATGGTTTGATACCTGTAGTTTTAATATGGAGATCATTCTGAATGATAATAATTCCTATTTGTATGATCTGCTTACAGAGTCGAACCATGGAAGGTTTCCATGATGAAAGCAGTGTCCTGCTCAATGACCTCCAGCTGACACCTGATAACAGCGAGGACGATGATGACGACTTTGAATCTGAGGATGATGAGAGCAAACAGGGTCCATCACACAAGCTGAGTGATGAAGAACACGATGAGGACGATGAGGACAATGAGATGGGAGCTTCGGCATCAATGTCGGCATCAATGATGATCGAGGGTATGTTTGGAGACGAGACTCGTGCCGCTATGTTCCAGGATGACGATGATTCAAGGAGTTCAGTTTGGATGGAAGATGAATCAATGGATGTTGGAGAGAGACTCTCTCTCTCGCAATCATTTGGACTCGGAAAGCATCACCAGGAGGAAGAGGAGGAGGAGGACGACGATGAAGATGTGAGAGAACAGAGTATAGATGATGGGAAAGGAGATGGAGATAGTGAGGATGATAATGACGATGATGGCGATGATGAGGATGATGACATGCTGGATCTTGATGAAGAAACGTGAAAGATGTTACTACCTGGATAGTATGAAGTCAAGATGAAGAAATACTGATCACCAAAGCTTGCCAGGATATAAGGCTCTTATACCAATCTCTGTTGGGATGATGCTTGATTGGGTCTCAGGAGAATGAGGAGATGGAATTCATTTCAAATAGAGAGGAGAATCAAATATAACTTGTCTGCAAAGAAGAAAATCATACTCAAGATGAGAAAATTGAATCATTGCCAGATTTATAGTCTTACATATACAGCTGAGAGAGGAAGTTTGCAGAGTGGAAATAGAATTGTCAACAGATTTGACTGTTCTCCAACTGATAAATATTGTAGATCTTATCCTGAGACCTGTTGCATAAAACTTACCATTAATGGTTACTCTGTCACCAATGGTAACTACCATGGTAACATTGCTCAACAGCCAATCAAAATCATGTATTCCATGGTAGTTACCATTGATGGCAAAGTTACCATCAATGATAAGTTTTATGCAACAGGTCCCTGGTCTGAAACAGATTTTTCTTGATTACATTTAATGGCAGGTGAAGGATAGGTGACGATGTCTAAAGGCTTGTTCAGATATGGCGCTATAAACCATTGCATTAAAGCCACTGGGTTTATTTAATGTGTAAATGAATGGCAACTGTGTGCAACATAAGACTTATGTTCATTCACTGTGCTCTGTGTTATGAGATACAGAAATGTGAAGTGAATTACACTTTATGTCATCATAAGCTCAACACTAACAGCTAACTTAACATTTGACCCCCAATGTTCAAATGCAAAGAGTGCCATCGTGCTCATATACTTTATTTTTCCTTCTCATTATCCAGTGACAGACTCTATGCTTGAATATTATGATTTAATGGAACTCCTTGTTCATCCTTCATGTTTATCACACATGCTACTACTCACCAAGTCCTGAAAGCTAAACAATTCCGAGTAAGAATTTCTTGTTTGCTGCCATCTTGTGTTGGAGTAGTTCATATAAAGTTCTTGCTGCTTGTAAGGTATTCTATTACCCTTTTTACCACTGGCAACAAATTGAGCAGAAAATATGAAAATTTGTAGCAATGTAAGGTGTGATAACAGATTCTTATTCTCCATAAAGGGCATATTTGTGATATGTTAAAGTATTACATTTCATGACTTTGTATTTCAGTATGTAATTGTCCTTGATATTCATGTATGAAGATTTGACATCTTAATACACCTGTGTGGGGAAAAGGAGAACCAATTATTTAATAATATTGGATATGAGTTCTTATTCTTTACATACAAAGATCTTGCTGTGAGTAGAAGACCTGTTAATCAAGTTAAAGCCTAGCTAGTTGTCAAGAAGCATTTTTTGTCCAGCTTATTACAGATGATTAATTCACAAGAGATATTAAACCTGTATTTTGTCTTTTTCCTTGATTAATCAACTTGTTTTATGAAATAACTTGAACAAGTGGGATTTGTAAAGGAAACTGTCAAGAGTATATTGTTTGTATGGTACTCCATGAAAATCTGCAGCATATTTTTTCTAGCCTATAATGATCATTGATTCAGTAATAAGAGATGAAGATGTTTTGCAATTACTATTATTATCATGTATATGAATCAGGACCGCTCATTTCAAACTTTCATTGATTTCTTTTTCATTGATTCCAAGTTTCAACTCTTTTCTGGCTTAAGCTGAGTACATTTCTCCATGTAAACCTCAAATATTGACTTTTTGCTATATATATGTAAATGATGTAAATATTGTACATGTTTAAATAATGATTAAAGATCACAACTTGAAATACGTTCACCGTTCAGGACTATTTTGTTTCCATGTACTTGTGCCATTGTGAGTATCTGTAGAAAGAAAACAGTTATATATAGTGCAGGTTGATGAACTCTTTCAATGGAGGATAGTTTATAGACAAATTATTAATTTTGGGATGTCTCTAAGTGTGTGAAAGTTATATTTTGGTATTTGTGCCTCCATATTATATCTCAAACATTAAATTTTTAAAACATAAACAAATCAAACCAATGGATTTGTATAGTGAATGAAAATACTATCCTCACATTGTATTAATTTAATGTGATGCTGGTAATATAAGGATGACAGAGGTAGAAAATCAAACAAATGTTTAACGTCACCTGTGTTCATGAAAATATTTAAAGGGACATACAAAGTATTGACGATGATGATAATTATGATGATGACAATTAAAGATGCTGATGGGAATAAAGTTAATGATGAGGAGGATGATGAGAATGAGAGAGATGATTATAATGATGGTAATGATTAATATAATGATGATGATGATGATGATGGTAATGATGACAATAAAAGATGCTGATGGGAATGAAGATAATGAGGAGGGGGAGAATGATGATGGTTATGATGATGAGAATGATGATTGATGATGGAGATGATGATGATGTTGATGATGAAAGTGTCAACAATTATTTTGAACATTTTAATTTTAAAAACAAAGCAAATCAAATTAAATCAAAACATTGTAACAATGATGGTGATTATGAGACCAATAAAACTGTTTTAAATAGTAAGTCTACTCTTAATTCAAATATATTAAAGATGAGTTGAGAATGAACTGCTAGTATAGGAGATGATATCAATTGTAAGACTCCAAAGTTCACCTTGAAAAGGAAAATCAATAACCTATTTTTCCCGCTTTGCATCCAGACTATACTGACAGAAAACCAATGCCGCCACCCTGCGGCCATTTAAAGAAGGTTACTCATATTTTGGAAAATGTATTTTTGTTTGTCGAAGACATAGAAATAACGACCTTAAAGGAAATGGTGGTTGTACGGGAAAATTCCCATTTCCAATTCTCCACGCATCATATTTCGATTTCTATATCATTTACACCTGCAAAGCCATATGTTTTGTTTGTTTTTGTGCATTTTAATGTAGTTTGCGAAGACACGTATATATCATTTTCATCATATTTATATCAAAACATTTTTGATTTCGACTTGATCCGAACAATTGCATAATACAAACCAAAAAGCTCAAAAAAGAATTCTTACAATAAATGCATACAGTTATATATATATATATATATATATATGAACATAATGTGTAAAAACATATGAGGTAGTAGAATTTAATTGAATCGAATTGAATTGACGAAGAAGAAGAAGAGGAAGAAGGAGAGGAAGAAGAAGAAAAAGAAGGAAAAGATAAAGGAAAAAATAAGGAGGAGAAATCAAAAGAAAAAAAGAATGAAATATGGTTGATAGTATAATCAGAATTTAAAATTGATGTTTATAAAAGCCAGTAACAAAATGCAGTATACAATTAAAAATCCAGTAATGAAATCGCTTCTTATCTGGCCAGTATAATATATGCAGATAACTTTTTGATTAATACAATAGCCTTGTCAATAAACTTATCAAAAATGAAAGAGATGAAAACAGATACCAAGAACCCTGGATGCTCTTATTGGGAGTAGTGATCCTGTGAAATTAGTATGATAAGAATGTCATATATGAGCATCGAGATCAATGTTTTTAAAACGTGAATACATTCAAAGAGGAAACAAAAGGGAAGAAACAAATAAAATGAATCAAAATTATTCGCAAAATTTAATAGATTCTAGCGTGATTGTTTGAGGGTATATAGTGAGCTTATGCTTTTGTGGAGCCTTCTTTCGAATACTTTGTAGAGGTAGTGGGTTTCTAATGAAGAAAGATAGTTGCATGATGATTATACCCGATTGACCATAGCATTCTCTCGTCTGCTATATTAACATGATCCATGTGGAATCGAATTGGTATGGTAATAAAAACATATTAATCTTTCATGATTAGGTCATCATAAAAATTTTCATTAAGCCGAAATACATTCAGTACAGGGTTTTGGTGGAGCTCTAGCATAAGTTTACTCTTCACTTACAACATGTTTATATATTTGCAATTTTTTAAAACTTATGTTAAAAACAAATTAATTTTTCATGATTAGGTCATCATAAAAATTTTCATTAAGCCGATATACATTCAGTACAGGGTTTTGGTGGAGCTCTAGCATAAGTTTACTCTTCACTTACAACATGTTTATATATTTGCAATTTTTTAAAACTTATGTTAAAAATGTAACCATTTTGAGTTAGGCAAAGGTTTTAGTATTCATATGCCAATGATTTTAAAGAGCAAAATCTTCGTCACCAAACATAGCGTCTCATGATTGACATAATCATCGTCTTTATCATCATTAGCATCGTCATTCATCACTATCATCATAATTCATCACCATGGTATGTAGTGGAAGTATTTTGTTTTGCATTTACAATCATAATATAATATATGTGAATTTGATGAGCATCACAAAGAGGAAGAGGGGGATAGAGAGAGAAAGAGAGAGGATAGAGAGAGAAAGAGAGAGAGAGAGAGAAAAGGGAGAGAGAGAGAGAGAAAAGGGAGAGAGAGATGGGGACAGAGAAAGAGTGAGATAGAGAGGGAGACAGAGAGACAGAGAGAGAGAAAAAAAGAGAGAGAGAGAAAGAGATAGAGAAAGAGTGAGAGAGAGAGAGAGGGGGGAGGGGGAAGGAAAGAGAAAGGGAAAGAGGGAGGGAGAGAGAGAGAGAGAGAGAGAGATGCTATTATAATCTATCAGAGTATGATATAGTTCTTCAGACTGCATGCTTTGTACTAGATTCTAGCTCCATATATAAAGATCAACAATAATTAACCTTATGTGGGTGAAACGAGCTATTTACGAGCAAAAATAAGACTTTAACCTCGGGCAGGGTATATGAACGAAACAGATACGCAGAGAGGAACAGACGTAAGCAAATCCCCTGCGTTGCCCCCAGTCAAACAAATATTATTTTTGAAATGTAGCACTTCCATATCATGACAAGGTCCCGACATTTGCGATGAATTTGCCTTCATCTGTTTTTTCCCTTCTTAAACACAAATCTTGAGATGTGGGTAGTTTGAAGGGAGGGAGAAAAACGAGGATGAGCCTCGTCTGGCGGAAGTGTAGGCAGCACGCTGTAGCGGAAAGGTCTGGTCTCTCTCCGCCTACGGAGCCGGGAGCGAGAGCCGAGGACATCGCATTGATCGGAAATGCGAGTATTAGTCTGACAGTACACACACCTGCTCCCACTATACACGCAGTGTTTTGGGGCGATCGCTCCAGCAGGCACCGTGCACGAAGATAAGCGGCGAGGCGCCACGAAACTACCGTAGATGTAGAAGTAGTAGGCCTAGGTTATTTGCAACAACAGACAAAATGCTCTTACAATGAATAACATTCATGATATGATGCTACTAACATTTAGTATTCGATATACTGTATTTTCTATTGAAATATATGTTCATCTGCCTGCGCCTTATTCAATGAAAAGTTGTTTTTTTCTAATTTCAGTTTTATGTAGGACTGTTTCATGTACTAAATGAGTTATCTACTTACCGTTTCGAGATCTTACATAAAAAACATTATCCGAGTGCTACGTCCTCTGTCTCTCTTTCTCTCTCTCTCTCTCTTTGCTATCTTTCCCCTCCTTCATACTCCTTTCCATATTTCTCTCTCACTCACTCTTTATCACAATTTTTACTTCCTTTCTCCTCTCTCTCTCTCTCTCTCTGTGGTCACTTGTGTTTGCTTAAGTATTTCTTCTGATCCTTTTTCAATCTAGCATGCTTGCTCAAATTTCTTTCTGTATTCACCGAAATATATCAAAGCATGTCATCTTACGTGCGCGCAGTCAAATGAAATCAAGCGGACCATTGCGCGCGATTTTTCAACTTACCCCCAGGTCCCTTCAGCATCGTACTTCCCGGCTCTAGCCAACACCCCCCCCCCCCCTACCCCCTCCACATTTCCTCAATCTCTCTCAGCTCCTCGCATTAGTAACTCACAACGCTCATTCCATCCTCTGCTCTGGGACTATCTCAATTCCCTACTCTATCCTTTTCGCTTGCCTACCCCTTAATGACTAAAGAATCGACTCTCTGCTACTCTCTTTTTCCCCATCCTCCTACTCACCCTTTAGTTAGAGGATGGAGAAGCAGATGCAGAAGACATCTCCGCTCCATCCCGGCTCACTCTATTCGACACACTTGGTAGAATCCATGGCCTGAGGAATGAAAATTCCTCTTATTGAGCCGTGGTAATTTGAATTCAGTTCCTCGCAGTTGTGTTAACTTTTTTTCCCATTAGGATGCGGAGAAGGATTCTAAATACATCTGCATAAGAATAAGAGCCGTCCCGTATCATACCCATTTTTAGTACTGCCGCTTCTAGCATCTCCTTTAGGATGCCTTTATTTGTCTTTGGTTCCTTTTGCAAATCATCTCATAAACCACACGGCAGTTTTCATCGAGAAGATATTATGATTTTAGTTTTGAGGACTTGAGCTCAAAAGGTTTAGGTATTCTTTTTTACTTCCCTCAAGGGTTTGATATCCGTTTGAAATTCGATTCTTTATCCTGCAAACTTGAAATGAATAAGCGGCTTACAAGCGAACAACAACTTTGTTGAAATAAGAATAACATAACGTAGGCGGTTTTATGATCAGGACCACAAGGGACAAGACTGATCTATTCAACACTCCTCTGGGTCTGTTCTCTGAGAAAACAGAAGAAAATTGGCTTAGATGAAGATATTCAACGAATGAAGTCATGAAATAAGTTATTATATCATCTTTGGTGATGACGTGAATCGGAGATGAATTAAAAATATTCTTATTCTTATGTCATTTGAATCCTTGACTTGAATAATATAAGATTTATATTCGATAGAACATGCACAATTCACAATTGATTATTGAAAAAAAAACAGTGCAG